CCGAAAGTCGCAGACTCCCATCTTTGAACTTGGGTACTGTACCCGTAGCACGTGCCACTAGTTCATGCACCGAGAGCCGGGGTTTTTTCTTTTCTTTTTTTTTCTCCGTTTCGGGCCGTGCCCCTAAGCGAAGGCATCTTGCAGAGTAAGAACCTCAACCCTCCTCAATGTAAAAGTCAACCGTACTATATTCTTGAGAAAGCCTCCCAAAAAAACGGCATTATCAAGAGGCCGACGCAGCTCACTTACTCTTACATCTGATAGCAGTATATCATCGATTAATAACGTCGAAGGTTTGCGTGATAATATATTCCAATATTTTCAGCCGCGTACAGACCGGCCAGCAGTATCAAGTAACAGTAAAGCGGAAATAAGGGATTGGTATAGCTATGAAGTGAATTATATAATTTTATTGACATAATCTCTGATAAGGCCCTCTGGATGGTAGTAATTCCTTTGCAATTGAAATTTCCTCGATGATGCATCTATAAAAACATAGTATCACATATTAGAAGACGAAGGATCCTGAAAAGAAAGAGAGAGAAAAAAAGAGAAACCCCCTCCCCCCCGAAACAGTTCAAATCGCGAGGAGATCAATTCTTGAATTATTGGATTCTGAGCTGTTACTTAATTCATACTATTGGCTATTGATTTTTATCTGAATCACTCATTCAATCGAAGAAAAGAGAAGAAAAAAGAAAAAAAAAAGAAGAAAAAAAACCAGAGACAAAACAAACTCCTACCTCGAGATAGGAGAAGAAACCCCGTCGTCCTGGGATTTCGTTTTTTCGAATCGTATACGGTTTGTCGTGTGTGGTCTGGTGAGTCTAAACCACTCGGCCCCAAATCGTTACAACTCCTCCACACCAGTTTGACCCGAAGATGACAACCAACTATGCCATCCACGCCCCTGGATACCATACAGCCGTGGTATTCAACCCTATACCTACCTTAAAAAATTTTTTCTCGGAAAGTGGAGATTCCTACGCGAGCTAACACGACGGCTTCAATATTCTTAAGCTTATGTTCTCTTCCACCGGCGTTTATGATTAAGTATCAGGCTAGTTCTCTATATACGACTGGCCAGCAGATAGATACAGCAATTACCAACAAGCCGTATCGCATTTCATTCCTACCTACAACCCACGAACCACCTCTCCGTTTGATCAGCACGCCCACCGTCTACACCTCCCCCCCTCTCTCTCAATAGACAACTAAACTCGCCTCCACCCACCCACTCTTTCATATTTGCATTGCGCATCACATAAAAGACTCAAAGAATCTCGTCCTACACTCAGAGTGCTGTTGCCACGATACAGCCACGACTGTATACAAAACCGAAGAAATGAAAAGACGGACAGAGTCGCTCACTGATATTCAAGCCACCCATTAAGAAACACCATCCTTGTTCTTATTACAAGAAACGAGGTCCCAAATCCCAACTCCCAACTCCGTCCAGAATTCAATTGTAAACCGCACCGTGATTAATCCCGACGGCTGCTGAGAGGTCTAGCTAGCTAGCCAGCCAGCCAGCAACAAAGCCAACGCTATAACGGCACAAGGCACCTAATATAGATCATACCCGACAGTACAAGTAAGCAAAAAGCAGCGCGACATAAAATCAAACATCTGAACTAAAGACAGTACAACGTATTACATTTACAATCAAACCACTTCAAAGTGAACTGAACTGAACTAGCGCGGGGCGGCAATGTCTCAAAAAAACCTCAGCTTCTTCTCGAAACTCACCTTCCTTTTCTCTTTCCCTTCCCCTTTCGGCCAGATGTCGCTAATAAGGCCTTTACTTACTTACTAACTTAGAGCATGTATGCCTCGCAGATGCAAGCCAAGTCGCACCACCATAATATTCTTGCATCTCCAAGTTGCGCGTCAAGATGCAAGAATTGAGGCTCCAATCTGTATGGCTCGTGCATGTAGATCTTGTAAAGCGTGCATCTAACCTTGCAACTTGTAGTCGCACCATACAAATCGAAGGTGCAGCAAAAAGCTCCAACTTCCAAGTTGCAAGCTTCCCCCCCCCCGCTCTCTCTTTCCGCTTATTTTGACCACCTTTTTATCCTTCTACAACGCTCCCTTTTTGCAATGGCTTCTTCAAAAGACACTTTGAAAAGGCGTAATCTGCGCAATCGCAATATCGGTGTTATTCCCGCCCCGATGGGAGCGTTGCGCCGCTGTTCAATGCTACAAAAACAACTTCGCAAAAACACCCCAGCAAATTGGTATTCAATCTGCTAGTTGCGAGCCATACAGGCCCTGGAACGTGCAACTGCGTGCCATACACACCCTTTACTCATTAACATACCAACACTTCCAGAACCAATCTTATAGGCTAAAACATCGCCCAAACAAGGCTTCTCCCGAATCTCAATGCAAACATCAGCTACTAGCTACCTCGCTCGCCATGAGAAGAGAAATTGTATTTTAAATAGCGTTTACATTTTCGCGCGCGAGTGCCATCATCATTCGACATCCCCGTCTTCTAAAAAGAGTCTCACTTGAGGAAAATCTCGGTAAATATACACAGGGGGGCAATTAGCGACAGGGTCATGGCATTTAAAGCATGCACATCCTCAGCATCGAAGCCACTATGTTTATTTCTCTATTAAATAAAGCACCTACGCACCTACCATCTACCACCCAGCACCTCTACTATTCATTTTTCCTTTCCGCAAATGCCAGCCTGATTTATTCCCTTGCCCCACGTTCAGCGGGCTTGCCAACCCCCCCCCTCCAAAGAATTCCCCATACTCTCGTTCGTAAAGTAGTAGTAAAGGATGGGAAAAATCATGCCTAAAAGTACGCCGTGCGCTCTCGCTATCATGTTTGTCCCTCTTACGTGTATGTCGCCTGGTTTCAAAGGAGAACTCATCACGAGTCGATCCGGGGCGGACTCTTCGCATCTTTGTATTTGCCATATGGAGACGCAGAGCGCGAGTCATCGATCCTTTCGTAAATGTCAGCCACAGTGTTCTCTGGATCATCCAAGCCTTCCGAATCGCAAGGCATCTAGAAGCAGAGATGTATAAGAAAAAAAAAAAAAAAACTTACGATCTCCTCCGTTCGCCCTCCTTCCTAAACCCCTCAATAGTCTTCAACATTTCCTTCCTCCCGCCGCTCGCATCCACCAACTTGCCCCCCATACTCATACTAACCTTCTCCTTTGCATTCACACTCAGCAGCCTCTTCAACAGCAGATGCCGCATCTGTATGCAAACATACACCCCACAATCACTGCTATTCTCCTGCTGCGGGCTATCTTCCAGATTCAAGAACCTCAACGGGCGTCCCAGCAAGTGAGAAATTTTGTTCGTGGCCAACATAGCCTCATTGTAGTTCGACGGGGACAGGGAGTCGTAGTGGAAAGCCACGCCGTCGATGACTGATACGAGGAGGAGAGACCAATGCGAGCCACCTTCGGCAACTGCGGCGTTGCGGGCGTCGTTTATGGGGAGGAAGATGTGCGTTGTGCGGCTGAAGTTTGGCAGGGCATCCTTGAGGGTCAGAGGATCGGGCGTTTGCATGAGCATAAAGGCCATGGAAGGGCGCAGGAGCACTATGTTCGAGGAGGGGTATTTGCGCAGTTCCTCGCGCTCGAGGTATCTGGTCTCGTCAGTGTCTACCAGCCAAGCTGAGGGGTGGACGGATGTACTCTTCCCAGAATGCGATTGTCTGCGAGTCAAACAGTCAGAAATGAATGCAGAAGTAATACGGAGGGAATTCACATTGTCAGTAAGCCAGTCATTCTTCAGCGTATCGACGTCCTCTTTTGTCACTGTCTCCCGGAATCAGTGTCCAAACTGCGCCCTTGGCTCCCACGTAAGGTACTATCACTTACGGCGGATATCGTAATCTGTGGACAGAGCGTCAGTCTATGTGTGGCTCACCAGGTCACAACGGCTTTCCGGGGGTACTTACAGCTTAGATAGGCATCATCGGGAGCCAGCTGTTTCCAACCCAGCCACCTGGTCAGCGTTGCAAAGAATCCCATTGCTATCCTTTTTGTCCCTAAGCGTAAATTGTAATGCGAGGGCCTGAAAGGTTCGGGAGCAGAGGCGAGAGTTGAGAGTTGTAGGAAGGGGACTACGATGGCGAGTTGGCACGTACCGAATCCCCAAAGTGCTTGCTAACTCTACCCTTGAAGGGATGGAACCCGTCACGTCCCATCCTTTGCTACCTTTAAATATATATGTATATATATATGGAACGTTTATATGTGTCTGGTTTTGTCCTTGACTCTTTGTTGATTCACCCTCTCTGTGTCTCTATCTGCAGCAGGCTGGCTGATCGGCACTCGGATGTGGGGTAATATGGTGGGGTGAGGAGGTGAAGGGGTGAACCGGTGAAGAGTGAGGTGAAATGAGTGAGGTTTTTTGACGGCTGGAATAGATCCAGATGGATGAGTGAAGAGGAGCCGGAGCCGGAGCCGGAGTCGGAAGACTGCAGAGAAGTGGCAGAAGTCGGGCGCAGAGAAGAGGCTTTCACCGTCGCGCAGGGTTGTCCCTCCAAGTAAGTCAGAGTATGTATGGGTGGGGTCAAAGTTGAGCCAGCCCCATGTACCACGTACCTACGTAGTAGTACTACTTATTAATAGTGACTTACTTACTAATTAGCCTTGCCCAGCCTTATACGGCGTCATGGATCGCGCTTTAATGCATTCAGCCTCATGTCAACGACGACTACCACATCACCACTACCTCAACTCCGGTCTACATAGCTATTTTTACTACACGGCTTTTTCTGTAACCCTCATCTACCTTCATTGAGATATGCTAGGTACAAAGATACTACTCTGCACTATGCAGCTCACGGCGATCCCTCCTATCCATACCTAGCCCCCATCTCAGCTAAGCTATTCTTACATCGGCACAACATCTGAACACAAATTACTACCTGTACTATAGCCGAGCAAAGAAACTGTTGTCAAGCAACGCTATTCCGTTCAGCATATTCCGCATTCTGCCGAGTCGTCTTGCGATCATCCATAGCCTTGCGGCCTGATAGCCTCAACTCAAACTCAGTTGTCGGAATCTCGGCCTTGACGGATGGTTTTGCGGATCGATTCTTGCCTCTGCCGCCAGCCCTTCTCGAAATGACTGGTCGCATTCTCCTGAAGATCATCTACAGACTGCATGGCAATGTCTCTTGCTTCGGAATAGGCGGTTGCCATTTCTGCTCTCTTTGCCTCGAGATTGTTGCACATGGTCTGTCTTTCACCCTCCCGCTTCTTCACGATGCCGTCTAGAATTTTGGTACCGTTCTCCTGATAATGCGTGACGAGAAGAGCCATCTTATCCTCTTCTGCCGATAGTCGAATGATGACTTCCTAATGAATGTCAGCAGTCACTCATATATTTGATTATCGGAACGCTTACTTCTGCAATTCGATGGACTGCTTGGCCAACGGTATTGTAGTGGGGACGCAACGCAACATTCCACGTTTTGTTTGCAGCAGATACTTCTTGCAGTGGGGTTCTCGTCGACTCACTGGAATGCGAATCCAACGATGTAGCCGAGGTCATGTCACTGGGCATCGAGTCATCGTATTCTTGCCGTCGGGTCGCGCCGCGTTTTCTCTCGGGGCTCTTTTTAACGCGACGTCTCTCTTCCTCTTGATGGATGGTATGCTTCTGACGGGGCTTGGTCTCGATAGCTTCTCGTGGAAGCTCAGGAAGTATCTGTCCGGTCTGGGGTCGACGTCCAGCAGCTGGGCCCCGGACCCGAGCAGTAGGTGAACCCCGAACCAAGGCGCTGAGTGACTCATCGCTGCTTTCTTGCAACCGGAATCTGCCGGTTTCTGGGGCGTAATCCTTGGAAGCACTACTGTAAAGGCGCTCAATAAAGATATTTGGCTTTCGAAGCCTCTCGAAGAAAGGATCAGCTAGGCTTCGCTTAGGCTCAATGACTTGCTTCGAGTTGATAGCGTTGTAAGCACCAAGGTCTGTTTCTTCATGGGGCACGTAGCGACTGCTTGCTTCACCGGGTGATGAAGGCCGAGCCTTGAGCTTATTTCCCAAAGATATAGTTGGCCCAAATATCTGCGAGTGCCTTCGCTCGCGTACAGGGGTAGAATCAACTTGGGCTACCGTCTTATAGGCTTGCACATCTTCCTTGGGTTCGGCAGCGGCCAATCTTTCTTTCAGCCTCTGCATGTGATCCACCGGACTCCCGTCAGCGATTGGACTTCCATTTTTGTTGACACGTGATGGTTGTGAGCTCGTCCTAGAGGCCAGTTGAGGGAGAACTCTTTGGCGAACTGGTTTTGAAGGCACTGCTGCTCTTGGAGGGCTACTCTCAACTGCGGTCTGTTCGTTGTTGCCCGTGTCCTCGTCGTAGATGTCATCCAAAATATTCGCATGCATAGGACTGCTTTCTTTCCTCTTACTGGGCGGGCTGGTTACTGCAAGATTTGCTGCCGCACGCTTTCTCTTCCTGTCTAGAAGCTTTACAGTAGGACCTGCATTCTCGTTGTCCGCCACGACTTCGCGCTTCTCTTGCATATCCTCAGTACTGGCAACACCTTGATTGAGTGGCCCTCGACTGCTGAATTCGATGATTCGAGGCTTCCGATCAAGATCCTTGTTAACGCCAGAGCTTCCCTGAGTAGGTGTTTCGGCTACAGCTGCCTTGCGTTGAATGTGTACTGATTTTGGCACAGACTCAGTATCGCTTTCGCGAGTTGTTTGCAGGTCAGATGCGTCCTTCTCAGACCGACGACGCTTAGGGGCCATTGGATCAGCCTCCGTTGCCTTACGCTTCTTCAGCTGGTTAGTCACCAGGGGCTTCTCTTCCATGTCGACTGCGGGCTGGTTCGAAATGGTACTGTTCTCGGCCACATTGTCTTTTCTGATGCTATCCTCTCTCGGGGTCGGCTTCAGAGGCTGTTTGAAAGAGTTAACCGGGGTCTGATTGACGAGATGTGGCTTGAACTTGTTGAAAGAAACGGGCAGATTAGGCATATCAACTTTCTTGGGCTCTTCCCTGCTTTTTTCGTCCACTAGAGACATCGTCGTAGCAGACTCGTGAACAGCAGCAGGAGTCGAAGACGGAACAGGTGGAAAATCAAACTCGGATGGTGAAAGGCCAATGCCCGCACCATGTGGCGAGGATGCTTGGACGGGGTTTACCTTGATGTCGGGCTCCTTGGTGGGCTTTGCTGTGGTAGCAGTACTTGGCAATGCAGAGATATGTTTATCCTTGCCTTGTTCAGGTTCATTCGACTTGTTGTTTGTTATGTGGTCTTCCATCACAATCGGCTTCTGTGCAGATGTTTTCTGAGGCGCGTGTTGATCGGAGCCGCTATCTAGGTGACTGAGGATGCCACCAAGCTTACTCGCAAGATCAAGACCTGAACTTCTAGCTTTATCCTGGCTAGTTGCCAAAGAGAGGCTTGCCGCCTCGAAAGCAGCGCCCTTGATCTCTGCCTTGTGGGACGGCTTTTGAGGCGTAGCGTAATAAAGATCATCAGCCTGGTCTTGATCGACATCCATAGATTCGCTCGGAGATAACCCCAGCTCCCTAGAATCATCAGCTTGCAGCTGCTTAATCTCGTTCTCGTCATCTGCGACTGGAAGACTGGCGGATTTGGTGACATTTTTTTCTGACTTAGGAGGAGGCTTTGCGACGGCTTGAGCGTTTTCCTTGCTATTCTGAATGGCTTTGGACCTTTCCTTGGTTGGAAGGGTATTTGTCCGCTCTACCACTTCCACTTCCATCTCCATTGCGTCTTCATCTTGGCTCTCGTCTGCACCACGCATTTTTTCCTTTGCTCTTGACGCCGCAGCTCTCTGGCTGTGTCTTGCCTCCGTTACCGGCTTCTGCGAGGCAGCGGGAGCCGAGTGCCGCTTCTTGGGGTCTTTCTTGGTAGTCAAATCTTTCTTAGGCATCTTCGCTTGAGCCTTTGAATCTGACTTTGGCACCCCCTTGGTTGATCTTTCTGGCGGTCCGGACTCATCATCATCATCATCATCATCATCAGGCAACTCAAAAGCATCTACAGGAGACTCGGGCTGCTGGACCTTGGGGGGCGCTGGCTTTGGTAGGCCGTATATCTTTGCGGAAGCTGGCTTTGCGGGTTGAGCGAATTTCTTGTCGGTCTTTTGAACCTTTGCGGCGTGGCTGACGGAAGCATTCACCTTCTTAGCAGCTGCGGCTGGTGCCGCTCGTGGCTCTGCCTTCTTCTTGGACTTCTTGCTTGTGTCAAGAGGCATTTCCTTGGCTTCAACCTGAGTTCTTGAGGTTAAGGCAGGCTTCTTCACAGCAACCTTCTCGTCATCAACAGAATCTTGCTTGCCCTTAGTGCTCTGCGTGGGCTGATTGACAGCACCACGACGACCGATGGGTATCTTTGCCTTTGGTTTGACCTTTTTCTTTCTAGGAATAGCAGAGATAACCTTCGCTGGCGCGGTCTTCATGACAGACCCCTTACTCAGTAGAGTCTTGGGGCTAGCTGTGTAAATGTCTTCGACAGGGTCTTGCGGTGCTTCATCATCATCCACATGGAATATATCATCCACATTGGATGCATCGGAGCTCTCAACAGCCACCTGAGATCTTACCTGAGTAGGTTTTCTGGACTTCTTTGCCAAAGGGCTCTGATCGCGCAAATCTTCATTGAGCAGACTCTTCTGCTGAGAGTCTTTTTGGCTTGCCAAATATCTGATGGGTTCTGTGCTCGGACCGGCAATGGGCTGGACCAAGTTTTGGGTCTCAGGGCTCTCCTCTGTCAAATGCGTGTAGGATGACTTTATCTTCTGCGACTGTGAAAGGGGCTGACTTGGGCCGGCAGCTGATGGTCCTCCATCGTAGACTTCCACCTCTGAGTTGGCTCCCACAATAACTTCCTGAAGGTGGTCTACGCAGGCTGTCAGGGTTGAGAACCACAATTTGTTCATAAGGGAAGGTCTGGAGTCCAAAAAGCCTTTTTCCACTGGGTCATTCTCCAGCTCCAGGGTGATGCATTGCGAATCTACTTGAGATGCCACATCTCTCGTAATTGTCATCGTCTTGATGGTACAGAGAGGAATGTCGAGAGTTGAATCAAAATGTCCCTCTTGCGATGGAGCCAAGAATGACATCTGGTATATGTCAATGAAAAGAATGGCGTTGTGGTGGCTGGCTCCAAATTGACGTCTTGGTGGTGACAACTGAACAGCACTGGCATAGAACAGGTCGCCAATTCTATAGGCTTGTTAGCGGACCAATCCATACATCTGCGAGCATGTTTACCTACGCGTCTGGGACATCATCAACCCTCGTAAGCAAGCTATCCATATACTGCTGGAACTGTAGTCCCCAACCAGCATTGCCCTGACTAGATTCTGGAAAATCGGCGTAAAGACTCTCGTCGTAATTGAGGGGGAACAGGGACTCGAGAGGTGTGCCCTCTCTAAATATGGCCCTGATCAAGTGAGCGCATATGACCTTCAGAATTTCATCGGGCTCTTGAATAAGCTTGGCACCGATGCTTCTTCTATGCAAGATGTGGTTAGGGTTTTGTTAACGTCATGGAAATAATGACTTACCTAGTGTCCTCCTTCATCATGTCCAATTTCAGGCGGTTTTCCTCGCAGCCAGATACAAGCTGGATGCAGAGCAAGCCAGTCTTTCAGCTTCGTTAGTATTGGAGAAAACTTTGCGCACGATGTACTTACTGATCTGCGCATGCCAAAATCACTTGTCTCGTCAAGGAAGAACTCGAGGAGAGGCAGCAGGCACTTGGCCCCAATGACGCCTTTCTTGACTTCCAGTGCCTTCTCGTCTTCAGAGGCAAGGGAATCCTCAAACAACGACTTCTGCCAATGCATCAGCTTACGAGAATGAACAGTATCACAGGCCTACTCACCGCGAGCAAGAATAAACCACGTTCAGCCTCCTTGCCGGCCTCCATCTGCAGCGCAATCTCCAGTATGAAGCTAAAGGTGGGCGCTTCCAGAAGGCTGCATATGTTGTCATCATCCCTTTCGAGTTCTTTGATAAAGGTGGCGACGGGAATCTGGTTGATCGATTTTTTGCTTTTACGAAAGGTCCCCAGAACCTTTTTGATTTTGTCCATTGAAGGAGGAAGGCTAGAAGCAAAATTAGTACAGCTCCCAGGACTGGGCGTAGAACTTACGGTATTTTGCCTAGCTCCTTCTTCGCCTTTTCCATATGCTGTGAGAACTCCGCAAAGGCTACTTGTAGCTCGCCATCCTGAGATGACGCCGTTGGCTTCGACGGTCTTCGCAATAATGTCGGCCCCATGTCGACGTCTAGAAGTCTTGTCTGACCGATGCCTCTGATACGGAAAGGGGCGTCAGCTCGAACGTCTGTTTATCGTGATTCGTTGCATACGTTGAAGGAACTCCCTCCTAGTCTTTTCACGGAGGTATGATAGGGTTGCGGTGAGAAAGTAAAATGGGCCACACTGGGTGGTGTCGTGTTTGCTCGACGGAATGTCTCGTAATACTTGTCAGGCAGGAAAGTTCGCTGGCGTCAGCTGTCAATTGTTAGCTTTGCACTCGATTGAGCCATCGAAGACCCGTAGAGGAGTATCTGGGTTGATGCGTGCTTGTTGAATATGCAGGTACGAAGGTTACCACCGAGGCCTCGAAAGTGTCGAGGTTTGCCTGACTTGCTGAAGAGCAAGACCCATGTTAAGTGTTGAGTGAAGGAGGAAAGTGCAGGATAATCAATGGAAGCAGTGAATGGACGGCGAGAAGGGACGGTGAGAAGGCGTGTAGAGCTGCGACACTGTCGAATTCGCGGACGAGGTTGAAAGCGATAGCAGGAAGTTGCGCGCATAAGGGTAAATTGAGAGAGGGCATATATCTCTCACCTTTGTCTCCCGTACTCGCAGACGTTGACCCTTCGAGTCGAGCGCAGCCGATAGAATTAAAGCCGCATCTCCAAACTGGCGGTTTGGTTTCGGAGATCGTCACGGTTAAGGTTGAGGTTGAGGTGCTCAAGTTGAAAATTAAAGTTGATTTCACGGGGCTGTCATCGCGAAAGGAAAGAAGAAGGAAGGGTCATCTTAGCGCGGTGCCAGGACCCCACCGCAACCGCGCGAATCGTCTGCCGGCCCGAGAAATTGATGGCTGAGCTGCCCCTCGAATCTCCAGTATTATTCTGGCTTTCGACAAGAAAAGGTGGAGCTGACATTCAATCGATGGCAAATGATAGTCAATGGGCTGCCTTCTTCACGTGACGGGTGCTACCTTGGTTCCTTCCCGATCGAGATGGCATAGAAATCCGAGCTCAGCGCTTTGATTCGGTGCAAGCCAGGCTCTTCTTATGTCTCATATCGTAGCTACTGTATGTATTTATGCCAAGTACCATCACTGTTCGCTTTCCACAGTTTGATTCTAGAATCTGTACTATCATTTCCCAACTGAGATTGATCAAAGTCCTTATACCCCTTTTCTTCCCAAAGCAACTTCATCAGGCTCGATGGAATACATACATAAAGCTCGACCGTAATTTCTATCTAGAAGAATAAACAGCTTCGGTTTATCTCGGAGCCCTCAATATAAACATGCTGGCTTCACGAATCAGTCTGGTACCTACCCACGTCGGCTGGACGGAGAAAAGGGTGTTCTAAACTCGCTTACGCAACTTGCAGCGAGCTGCGAGGAGGCCGAGGATAACAACTGATTAGTGGCAAGTAAGTTGGTTGCTGGGTGTTGAAGGGAGCCGTCGAAATTTACATCATGGACACAGCTACGGATCAGCACTTCATCATTCTTCCTCAACAACCAACCTTCACCCACCCAGCCCTCCCCTCCATCAAATTCAGTCATAAATTAAGCTTGCTAGCCTCAACTGTAAAAAAAAAAACCGAAAGAACGGATCAAACTTTTAATTTCAAGACCTACATCAAGCTGGTCCGCCCCCCCACCTCTCTCCCCCCCTCCCCATTCTTCATCTCCCCGTTTCTCCCAACTACAAACTCCCTATATATCTTCTCCAGCCGACCCCTCTCCTGCGCACTGATACTGGCCCGAGTGCTCTTTAAGCTACTCTCCACATGTTTCCACTCAATTACTACTTCCTGCTGCTCCTTCTCCTCCTTCGCCTCGCCCTTTTCATCAGGTTCTCCTCTCCTCCCAATTTTCGCCCTCCGCTTCGCGTTCTTGATCTCCGCCAACTTGAGCGAAATGGCCGCCCGGTCAGCGAGGAGCTTGGATTTATTGTGTCCGGCCTTCGCGCGAGCCTCGGCTTCGAGACGGTGCGCGTCTTCGCCGTAGAGGAATTGTATAAAATCTCTCGGCCCAGACGCCGTCGCCTTGTTCGTACGTTTGCTGCCTAAAATTTCAGCATGACCCTGGTCACCAAGGACGTCGTGGATAGCGTCCAAATGGGCGTTGTAGACTAAGGCTTGGAGATCTGCACCGGAGTATCCTTCAGTGCGATCTGCGATTTCGGGAAGGCTATCGAGAACTTCTTCGCTGAGCATCAATTTCGTGCCAAGGGCGCGCAGAATATCGATCCGGTCGTCGCTACTGGGAAGATCGCAGATGAGGGATTTGTCAAGGCGACCTGGGCGCAGAAGGGCAGGGTCGATGAGATCTGGACGGGAAGTGGCAGCGAGGACGTAGACACCGGAAAGACCTTCTGCGCCGTCCATCTGGGTAAGCAGTTGATTTACTACGCGGTCAGTCACACCGGTGGAGTCGTGGCCTCTCTTGGGAGCGATGGAGTCAAATTCGTCAAAGAAAAGAACGCAGGGACGAGCGGCTTCTGCGCGGTCGAAGAGGTCTCGGACCGACTTTTCAGAGGCGCCAATGTATTTGTTGAGGATTTCGGGACCTTTGACGGAGATGAAGTTCAGACCGCATTCGCCTGCCACGGCAGATGCGAGCATGGTCTTGCCGCATCCTGGGTACCCGTAAAGAAGCAGACCGGAACGTAATCGCAAAGGGCATTGTGCGAAAATGGGTGCGTAAGTTGTTGGGTATTGAAGAGTTTCGAGGAGGATCTTTCGAGTCTCGTGCAGGCCACCTATTGAGGCAAAGGTTGTCGTACTGGTCTGAAGAGTGACATTGCGCAGAGAGGCAGGTGTGAACCCTTTCAATGCACGATCGAAATCCTCCCGGCTGAGCTGGACTCCTGAGGAATCCGTTGCCTTTGCGGTCTGAGATACAGAGCGGATCAAAGCTTCGCTTCTTGCTCTTGCAGCCAGTAGAACCAGATCTCCGGGCATATATCCATCGGTTTCACCTGCCAGATCTAAGAAATCAAGGTCGGGTGATATATTGAAGCCATCAGATTGCCCAGATGACTTGGGACGACTTGCTGCACTGGAACTATCCATCCAGCCACCGTCTTCGTCTTCTCCAGCACTGCCATCAGCTGTTGTTGGTCGACTGCCACTACTTCGTAGCGCCTGTGGCTCGTGCTTGGTTTCGGTCGCGTTTTGCTTGACAACCATTTCGACGACTCGCCTTCTGCCTTCTTTGTTTGGAGCCTTCAGGCTGACTATCTCACGAACAACATGACCGCCAACGATGACACTGTGGAGAGACTCTTTGGCTTGAGCTGTTGCGAGCAACACAACACCACTGTCTCTGCCACAATACTGTGTAGCAACAGTGCATACCCCTTCGCTTATTTGTCTGCTCCGACCGTTTTCACTGCCCACTTCCAATTCTGTTTCGGCAGGACACAACCTGTCTAGGTCATCCAATATTACCAAAGATTTGCCACCCAGTCGAGCACCCCATGCTGCACCCATGAATATCCTGGTTAGGGTTTCTTTAATAGTTGAGATGCGTGTTTCATCGGTGACCATTTGGCGGCAGGAGAAGTAAGTTGTATGGAAGAGATACTCAGATCGTAGACGATGGGCAAGTAGTTGCGCTAGGTTTGATTTTCCAGACCCCAATGCTCCGGTGAGAAGGACAGAAGACATATGCGACAAATGAGATTGAAGTTGATCAATGAGATTGTCGATACCTACGAGGACAGGAGCTTGCGACTGTAGAGGATCGCCAACTATCCTCGAAACTGACGACGGGCGCGGAATTGCAGGTTGAACTTCAATATTGAACTTCAGTTCGGAGCCGAGGAACCAATTACAAGTGATCTTTGCAGACTCCGAAGGTGGATGACCAAATCGAATTATACCACCTTCCCATCCAGATACTTGATCATTGGTATGATGGGCTCCAAGAATTAACCCATCAGTTATTGGACCATCTAGTAACGCATCGGAAGAGCCTTCTGAGCTATACATCTTCATGATTCGACGATTGGCCTCTTCGCGTTCCGTTTTCGACTCGCCTCCGAATTTCAGGCCTTCGCTAGATTTCGCCGCACTAGTTGAAAAGGGAAAGACCCTGACCGTGAGGCTGTTAGGTGTTGACGCAGGTTGTGACAGTTCTTTTAATGAGACTTGCTGGGGAGCAGGCTCCAACTTAACTACACCACCCACTATCCTCTCAGCAGCCATTGCAGCACACAGCGCAGACGAAAGAGCAGCGTGTTGACTGTCTGGTGGATCGTCCCAAGCGACCAGCTTCGCAACGACTTTCGTTGCTACTTTTCCTGCTTCACCTAAGCGATCGGTCTCCTGCTGTTGCTTTTGAGGACCAATAGGTGTTTGCAAACTTGCTGGTTTTACCACAGTCACACAGGCCCACGTGATACCCTTCAATGCCTTGGAAAGCAGCATATCTCGGTCAACCCAGATTTTCAGGCCTTGGTCCTTCGACTCCTTGTTATCGTCGAACCACTCTCCGCAAAGACTTCGATCAAGGCCCCGAAAGAATATAGCGGGCCGAGCCTCCTCACGAGCGCTTTTGCGTCTTGCAGTGCTTGTACCACTTCTGGCACCTGCGCTCTTCCTCGACGTGACGCTACGAGCCTCGCCAAATGATCGCAATGGTTTTGACCTTGACTTGGGAGCAACAATGACTTCGGCATCTGGAGATAATTTGGCAAATGGCGAAGATGCCGGTGGTTCGGGTGCAAGAGAGGTTACAATAATGCTGGCAGTCGAGGTGGGTGAAAGATGGAGGGTGAGGGGGTGTGGTGGGGGCTTGGGTCCATTGGGGGGGGTATAATTTGGGTTGGGCAGAGCGCGCAACTGGGAGACAGCATTGAGCTCTAGAAAATTCGCATGTAATTCTATGATCTCCCAGTCTTCGGGAGTCAAGGGCTCGATATTGATCGTATGCGCGACTGGCGGATCAAGGTGTATGCTGGCCGTAACCTTCTGGCCATCTGAGAGCCCCAGACCCCGAGCAAATGTAGCGTCGATCTCTATCAAAGGCACATCCTGCTCTCTCCCAGACGTGCTCCCTCTTGTACCACTTATTCCATCTCTACTGACGATAGGGGCAAGTTTCCGCTGGCTCTGCATGCCCGTCCATCCCACGAATATGGATCTCGTTGGGGGGGAGCCTGTCTGGCCTGAGCCAGCAGGTTGAGGTGCCCGATAGTTGAGTTCGATAATAACATTTTGAGCTAGCTAAGTAATAGAGTTAACGCCCGTTTTGTGTTATTGGAGGACCGGCGCAACATACAGTGTTTACATTGACTAGAAGGGCACAGAGTGACGACGGAAGGTTGACGAAGCAATTCTTGAGATGGATAAGAGATATTTCAGCCGAAGTGGCCTGACTACCACGTCTTCGATCATGAGCCATGGTATTGTGTAGAAAGAAGGCGCAAAACTATAGTAAGCTCGAGCATCGAAATGAGTCGATGATTCCTTCAGCAAGTAAGTGTAGTGCCTCGGCTCGGACGAGCATAGAACTAGCGGCTATGGCGTCTGTGTAGTGAATACTTCGCCTAGTTGACCAATGAATTTACACACCCTGGAAATAGCCGGGGCAGACGCGACACGTCCCTTGTTGACGCGAATTTTGGCGTTGAGTGCTTGTTCCCAGCCATCTCTCATTTTACGACCACCTTCCCCTACCTCCCCCTCTACCCTCTCTGGCGCAACAATTTCTTCTCGTCGATATACACCGCTCTTGAGATACCCACGTTCGAAAAGCTAATTCGCTGTCAATTTACACGAATTCCGCGTAGCTCAGGGGCTTTTTTGCGCAGGATGTCGCTCCTCACTTTCAGATCGCCCGTCGACTATGTGCACCACCAAAGTATGCGTTGCTCCAGAAGAACCGTCGCGCAACATACTAATCATGAACAGACGCGTTTGAGGAATTCCTTTCCACCTTCAAGACCTCGCCGAAGTCTGAGCTTGCGGGCGCGCTGCATGATATGAACATTGACGAGGATGATTTCAGCGACGATTACGACTTGATGGATGATGATGACGACGACGAGGGACAAAATGCGCGCAGACAAACACGGGCCAAGGCACAAACTCCGAGATTGAAGTATATGGAGATTCTCCAAAAGATTGCAGACCGAGACGAGGAGGAAATCACAATTGATCTTGATGATTTAGCAGAGGCAAGGAGTGCGTTACCAGCCAATAGCCAATGCTGACATGCGATAGTTTGATCAAATGCTGGATGGGAGGGGAGATGGATTAAACCTGGTTTCTTCGATTGAAATTAATGCTAAGCATTATCTCGATATCATGTCAAAGGCAGTGGATAAGGTTATGCCTGATGTCACGAGAGATGTCACGTATGCACACCACGATAATAATCTTGCGCTTGTGCTGACATTTCTACAGCTACAAGGATGACGTTCTAGACGTTCTCATGGCCCAACGAACCTATCGAAACAGGTTACTCGAGCTAGCTGCCGCTGATCAGGCCGAAGCGATTATGGAACAAGAGCTGTTCCCTGCCGAATTGACCCGCAGATATACCCTCAACTTCAAACCCAGAGTGAACGTCGGAGAGCCTCTGAAGGCATTGGCAGTCCGACAAGTACGAGGAGAGCATCTTGGAGCTTTGATCACTGTCCGAGGTATCACGACAAGAGTGTCGGATGTCAAGCCAACTGTGGAGGTCAATGCATACACTTGCGATCGCTGTGGCTGTGAAATCTTCCAACCTGTTGGAACCAAAACATACGGACCTCTGACTGAATGTCCTTCTCAAGACTGCAAGACGAACCAAACCAAGGGACAGCTCCACCACTCCACCCGCGCCTCGAAATTCCAACCGTTCCAGGAGGTCAAGATCCAAGAAATGGCCGAGCAGGTGCCAGTCGGTCACATCCCGAGAATGCTGACCGTGCTATGCCACGGTGCTCTTGTCCGCCGCATCAACCCTGGAGATGTTGTCGATATTGCTGGTATTTTCTTGCCAACCCCATACACTGGATTCAAGGCCATTCGAGCTGGTCTTTTGACAGATACTTTCCTTGAGGCGCAACACGTAACCCAACACAAGAAGGCCTATGAGGACTTGGCTTTGGATAACCGAGTTTTTAAGCGAATTGAACAATACCGGGCATCTGGCCATGTTTACGAGTACCTGGCGAAGTCGATTGCACCTGAGATCTACGGTCATTTGGATGTAAAGAAGGCTTTGCTATTACTTCTCGTCGGAGGTGTCACCAAGTCAATGGGAGACGGTATGCGCATTCGAGGAGACATCAACATTTGCTTGATGGGAGACCCTGGTGTGGCAAAATCCCAACTGTTGAAGTACATTACCAAAGTTGCTCCTCGTGGAGTTTACACAACCGGTCGTGGAAGCAGTGGTGTCGGTCTCACCGCAGCTGTTATGAAGGACCCTGTTACCGATGAGATGATCTTGGAGGGCGGTGCTCTAGTACTGGCAGACAACGGTATCTGCTGCATCGATGAATTTGACAAGATGGACGACACTGATAGAACCGCCATTCACGAAGTCATGGAACAACAGACTATATCTATCTCAAAGGCCGGAATTTCAACGACTCTCAACGCTCGAACCTCGATTCTTGCAGCTGCCAATCCTCTCTACGGCCGCTACAACCCTCGTATATCTCCAGTCGAGAATATCAACTTGCCAGCAGCTCTCCTCTCCCGTTTCGATGTTCTTTTCTTAATTCTCGATACACCTACAAGAGATACTGATGCACTCCTCGCTCGCCATGTCACTTTCGTCCACATGAACAACAAACATCCAGACACAGATGGCGTTGTCTTTACTCCCCACGAGGTCCGCCAATACGTTGCTCAAGCCCGGACTTTCCGCCCAGTCGTACCAACACCAGTCTCAGAATACATGGTCAAGGCTTACGTCAAGATGCGAGAACAGCAATCCCGAGACGAGAAGAACAAGAAGCAATTCACCCACACATCTCCGCGTACACTTCTCGGTATATTGCGTCTTGCTCAAGCTCTTGCCCGTTTACGATTCAGCGAGGAAGTTGTTCAAGACGACGTGGACGAGGCTCTGCGATTGATCGAAGCTAGCAAGGAATCCTTGTACCAGGATCAAGGTGGCTTTGGCCGAGACATGAGCCCCAGCTCCAGAATCTACAACATGGTTCGTGCGCTTGCTGAGAGTGGACAATGCAGACCCGATGATGCCGATGAGGGGGACGATGAGTTGGGTATGGAGCTGAGCATGAGAAAGGTAGAGGAGAGAGTCATCGCCAAGGGATTTACAAGGGACCAATGGCAGACAGCTGTTATGGAATACGCCAACCTAGACGTAAGTTCAACCTCGTCCCTCCATAATATCCTGGAACCTTCTAATATGACATCTAGATTTGGCAAACTGCTGGCAGCGGTACCCGTCTCATTTTCATTGTTTCGGAGGCTGCTCATATGGCTCGCGACGCGGAGTACGAAATGGAATAAGCGTTCTTATGAGCTTTAGTGGGACCTGATTTGAATGGAAGGGACTGGCGGCGATATGAAGAATACCACGATAGGCGTTCTAGGTACTGATGTTTCGTTTACTTGTCTTGTTCAGTCGACTTTGGGGAGGAGGGCGTTCGGTTGTGGATACCGTTCTGTTAGGCTACAAGATCAACCGGATACTACTATTATGCTCATGAGGCTGATTAGCCATGTTATCTATTTGACGAGGTTTTGTATTCCTCAAAGTTCTATGAGCTCATATGTATAAGTTTGGCGGCCTAGGGTCTGGCTCAACCTGTCGTTCTTTCCAATCTCTTCACTGTCCGGCTCACCACAGCAGCACTTTCATAACTCAAAGTGCCTTGTTCTGTTGAAGGATTTATCCGATTAATTTTTGGAGAGTTGCATCATCACCCTTGCACCGAGGTGTCACTCCCGCTGCACGCTTTACAGGAACTTCCAATTCCAAAACTGAGGAGACGAGTTTCAAAACGGCTAGCCGCATGGACAACGCCAGTCAAGGTATCTATCTTCAAGGATGCCACTAAGACAAAAAAGGGCGAGGAGAATATGGGGTATTCGAGGCTAATTTAAGGCTAATTTTGAGTAAGAACATAACGAAGAGGGATTTAGAGCAATCCAAATGAAATTCATCTGCGAATGAGGCGCTTGGTTATTGAAAGAACACCGTGCACTATGCTGGGCGTTGAAAGCTTTCTCGGCTAGGTAGTACCGGTACATGAGAGGGGTGCCAAGGTGTAAACACTGCTAGCCCAATACGGCTAAGCATCTCCACTCCTCCCCCTCAAGCCACATGCTACCAGCCGTGAAGGGCAAACGGAGATCTCAGATGTAATCGACACCCCGTAAGGTCTTGTTCTTAGAAGCTTGAGGTACATTCTGGAAGCGAAAGGCCAGATCGAGTCAACTCCGCACCCCATTCTTGCCTCGCGTAAATGGTACTGATCTTTCAAGTGCCCGCTCAGCATGCCTAACTGTGTTTAAAGACATGATATTCACCTTGCTCTTTGTCCGCCCTTGAGCGAGGTAGGATCTCTTGACCTTCCAATCATGCGCTCAAGAACTGAATGTGCCCCTTGTCAGTCACCTTGTCAGTCATAAGGCACTAGCTCCTGGTAGTAGCGGGACGGCTGTCAAGAAGACTCAATATCAAAGGTGCTACCGGTCATTCATCTTCCAGGAAGCTTTCATCTCGAAAGAAATTGATGAAATACTTTATTGGCTTCGACCTCTCCAGCCAGTCATTGTTGCCCAATCAGCCATAGGGACTTCATCGCTATATGTACCCTGAATACTCCGGACTGGATCTTCGAATATCGAAACCAAACCTTTTGCATACGGTCTTCTTCAAGCTCGGGCATCGATTAGAGGACATTTACTTGCCTCTCTCGCCGACTTGGACCTGTTCTCAATCAACACCTACGGTATCCGTGTAAGCTCTAGAAGTCATGGGTTCGATGTTCTCGGCGCTGGGAACGAATCGACGGCCACGTAGACAGCGTCAGCCACAGCATCCACTCCGAGCGACCCCTCCCATTCACCAGATTGAAGAAGTCGCAAGTCCCTTCGAAACCACTACATCACACTCGTGGTTCTTCTCGGGCCTTCTTTCACTCTTTCCCCAGAGCTTTGACTCACCGCGAGCCTCGCCCGGGGTCCCAAATTCACCAACCGCCAACATGAAGTCTACACTCTACAAACTACCAACGGAGCTGCGTGAGATGGTCTTCAAGTATTCTCTTGCACCTGAATGGGATGGCAAGATGCCAGGCCTGATCAAGGCTTTGAGATCCGACAAAGACTTGTATGCTGAGTGTATACATGCCTGGCGCAAGCACAAGCACACCTACATCTTGTCTGAGAAGAATAACTGGTCTTTCCTCGATATGCCGAAGAAAGTTATTGCTACCATCACGAAGGTCCGGATCATGGTTGAGTAAATACTTTTTTCTTTTCGACATCCACCAGCGACTTCTTCCGTTCTGATATGTTTCATCCCTTCCCCTGATTTTTTGGGGGGCGACATTGGCTGACCTTTCCCGCAGCGAAGACATCGCCCTCCACCCACTCCTCAGATGGAGTGATATGGCCGTCATCCATGAGCGCTTCCCCATGTCTATTCACGACCTCTCCCTCACCGCCGCTCTCGCGACCTCAGTCACCAGCGTGACCCTCGACTGCCGCCCTAAAACTTCCAACCTCTACTTTTGGTACCCCTCAAAATTCACCATGTACCTCTCTGGGTTCCCAGTCTTAACCTACGTCGAAATCACCTGTCCCCTCAAGCCCAACTCACCAGTCCACGAAGGTGGCGGAGGACGGGGACTGCGAGACGAAGAGGCCATGGTTAATTCTGCGTGGCAGGAGATGACGATGAAGAAGGCTGTCAGGGCTGGGAATCTGGAATTGGGAGTTTTGGCTAAGTTGAAGATGGTGTATGCGGATGTGTATTGGGAGTACGGAAATAGAGAATTTCGCAAATTTGAGTATAGGGATGCTTGGATCTGGATTGCGGAGGAGGGAAAGACGCTTAACAAGATTGATCTACCGCCGGGTTTGATGATGACGGGACCGAGGAAGCGAAGGGGGCTATTTCGGTAAGCCTGGTGCCCGCAGGACCTGAGGAATTTGATAGTATGAGGGATTGGGCAGACAACTGCCAGTCAAATTCTCCATATTCACGGACGAAGATCGAAGACACAGTTTAGCCGTTGGAGGAATTGTCATTGGCAAGAATCCGAACAGATCTTTAGGGGAGCTTTGCGATACACATGACAATCGGAAATAGGACTTTTGTACATTATCATCCTGAAATTCTGGCCTTAATCTGTGCACCGTGTAGTCAGACCCTTTAGCGGGTGTGGGGAGAGACAAGGTACTTCCCAGAACCATACTTATTGTCAATGTTGTGAATATGTGTTCTAGACTCTCGTTGTGGGTGTAACCTACAGGCTACACCAACTCTATCCCCTATGTATAAGTTCTCTTGCCTCTACTCCAGATTCTACAACTTTGTTTCTATTAGCTGACGCCCTCCTTCTCTGACCTCAGCTAGGGCTCACCACCTTCCAATTTGAGACCACATTGCCATGTTCGCTGGTTTGAGCTTCATTGTTTTAGAGCAAGAAGAATAGGAGTGGCAAGTTCTCATTCATTCATTGTCTAAAGTTAGTGAAGAGTATTTCTTCGAGACGAAGGGGGACTGAGAGAGCAAATGAGTGTAACCCAAGATGAACATCGGAGACTCCAAACATTAGGGCTCGACAAAGCTGCAAAAAAGCGTAGGAATTTCTCAAGCATCAACAAGCAGCATCAATCGAAGGAATGTATTTGGAGATTGCACAGCTAACACAACTCCTGCCTCAATAATGTGAGAGATGCCCGTTCCATCTTCATTTCCGAGTCTTAGTCCAGACGGTAAGGATTCGGTCCAGCTGCGAGCCATTCGGCATCCTGGGCGACGTAACCGGCTTCTTGACCATTTCCAAAACGTATAATGTCTTTCGAGAAGTCGATGTTTGCTGCGTGGAAGTGGGGGCCGAAGGCCAGTTTGTAGGATTTGAGGGACTCTTCTCTAGACTAGTGAGAGATGTGGAGGATGACAGGGACTTGATCGGGACTCGTCCAGCCGTCGAATCTGCTGATATTTTTGCCTTTAGATCTGGTAGAATGGCTGCCGTAATCGTCGGTTACCTTGAATTTAATTTGTAAAAAATCCCGACCTGGCGCAGCCAGGTCGGCACCACCAAGGCGGGACAGTAACGGTATACCACTTATTAAACAACAACTATTAATATAAATATAAAGAAAAATTATTTTCCTCACAAAACTTTGTTTCACTAATGTAAATTAAAAAAATAAAAATGCATTTTTTTTGGTGATATAATACATTAAAAAATAGTGAAAAAATAGCTAAAAACTGTCCTAAATAATTCAAATTTACTTATTTGCTGCGAATATCTTCATAACAATAGCCTTAATAAAAAAAAACGTCACATAAATCGAAAATAAATGATTTAATTTATTGTATTACCAAAAGTTTTAATTATTAGATAAAAGTTGGTAGTGATGCACGTATTTTTTTAATAGGTTTGAATAAAAGTTCGATGTTGATGTTCCTCGCTTATTCTAGTATTTACGCGGCAATTCTGATATATAGGTAAGGTACGCATTAATAAAATTGAAAAGTACAAAGTAAAAGTACCATTTTTACTACTTTAAGTCAACACAATATAAGAATAATAACTTATAATTAAAATTTGACTAATTGATTAATATCAAAATCAATACGGTGCGTCTCTCTATACAGAAATAATTACTATGTAATAGTTGGTTGATTTTCTATCTATTAAAAAGGAGCATATTTTACTGTCCCGCCTTGGTGGTGCCGACTTGCTATAGCAAGTCGGTCAATTCTTTCGAATTTAAAATAAGGAAACCGACGATTAGGTGATGGTTACAGTTCAGGGTTGCTCAAAAATGAAGCCATAGATCTTGAGGCGAAGCTCCGAGGGGAGAGCAGGGAAAAGAGTCAATGGTGGGGGATGAGGTAATATTCATGATTCATCTGGTTTCATGAGACTGGTCGTGAGTTCACCTTGGACGATTGATGTTGAGGCTCTGTACAAGTATAACAAGCTCGCTAAGATGAGGCTTGGGCGGTGAGGGTGACCCTATTTTGTGGCAGAATCCGACGCGACGAGATATACGGAGCCACCGGTTGCTCCCTACGTATTTTAAATTCGTTCCCCCGCTCACCCACAGCGATACAGGCTCGACACCGCAGAGACTTTGTGTAATCTTTCATGGACATGCCTTCTGCGGAGCTTCAGATCCCCTTCACGAACATGTCTTCCCTGCCTTTTAACCCACTTACTTCATTCACGATCTTCCTTAACCTACCCTTCGAACTTCGATGCATGATATGGGAGGCAAGCTGCGTATCTCGAATAGTCGAAGTCGATTATGACGAGGAAGAAGGCTTCCTGCCACGAGCTGCAAACCCAGTAGCCCTCGCCGTCTGCAAGGAATCTCGAAACTTGATTCTCGATAAATATCCTCTCGTTTTCGGCTCAATCTACCACCCAGCTCGGACACGCTTCAATTTTGCCATTGATACGCTGTTCATTGACAACGATATGGAGGATAACGTGCCACACCTCTTTTCCACGTTCAGAGAGAAGGAGATATTGGGCTTGCGCTTCATGGCTCTAGGCAATTCGTTCAACGAGCCAAGATACGATTCGGAGGAAACGACTACTACCCAACTGCTGAAGATGGTGACAAAACTTCCTTCGCTTCGATTGCTGTTGGTTGTCTACGATATTGCCGATATGGCAGATCAGAGCTTTAGCTGCGAGGTCCAGCATACGATGGAGTTCCACGACAAGGTACCCAAGCAGCTTGAACACCCAGCAGTTCATATTGATGCGCTTCCCGAAGTCACCGATGACAAAGAGAACGACTTCAAGCGCTGGGCAGTCCCGGATTGTCGACCTGTTTACGGATGGAGGCGTTGCCCCGATGGACATGTGTTTACGGATATTGACATGGAGTACGGACCGTCAGATGAAGATGAAGATGATTATGGGGAAGGCTTAATGTGGGGCCTAGGCTATGGTCATCGTTTGTCAACAATGTTTGGTATGTCAATCTGTTTTCTCACTTAGTTGCTTGGGGCGCTTAGGCTGCGGAGGAGGCTGCTGTTCTTGACTGCATACTAATAAGTGAACAGATGATGAATACTTAGACCTCGAGGGCATAGATCCTGGATATAACCCATACTTTGCGTACGAGGACCCGAGTACGAGTGACAACGAGGACCTGGATCACGACGAGGACCTGGATCATGACGAGGATCTGGATTACGAAGACGGTGAGGATGCGGCCGAGGATGGAGAGGACGATGCAATCAGCATTGTCTCAGTTGACTGAGTATGTTACGTAAATATGTTAGACGAGCTGTTGCTTTGAGAAGCCGCTCACTTTCCTATTTTTCATAGAATTGATTGATATAATATCAAACAATTCCAGTCTCTCAATCTTCTCCGGGTCAATGTTAGCTGCGTGTGTATTTACCCTGCTGCTGGCCCTTGACGCCATACTTTTGTGGCGCTCTAGTCAGGCTTCAATCCGAAGATAGCACCCATTCCCAGCATCTCAAGTCCCCCGGCGTGTACCGAGAGACGCAGGTGATGGTGTCGAGCCAGACTTCTTGCCGATGGCTTGCTCAGCTCATCGTCTATCTTTCATAGGAATGATTCATGATGTGTAGCAATAAGTAGATGACTATAACGGAGATCTTCCTTTTATCAGCTAGTCAGGTGGGCGGTTCTATCGACTCGATGAAGCTAAATATGGACTCACTCGTATGTACGTACCACGTTTGCTCTATAGAGGGAGTTCGGCTCCAAAAGTAGGTACGTGGTGAAAAGCGTTTACAACAACGAGACTGCTGGAAAATTCTATCCTTCTGTGAATTTCTGTGAATCCTGCCAATCTGAGTTAAAGGCTCATCCCAAGAGCCCTCACATCTCTCGGTTAATACACTCGAATATTTTTGTAAAACCTAGATCACATGACCTATAATTCACCGATGATTTACCGGTCTTGCTTAAAACCAAGCCGCATCGACTACCATTCAATAGTCTCGTCACTCTCATCGTCTTCTTTCTGTTTACCGTGTACGCGTTGATCAATCTGTCAGACCTTTCTTAATTGTGGTGTTAATAGCAAGATACTTCGTCTACGGAAAACCGAGGCTCCCTGCTATTCATCATGATTACCTTGGTCTCTGCTCCGACTAGCACTCGCGCGATATCGAGGAAGCTGCAGGCACCAGTCGTTCAGAATTTAGGATTCCAATATCCCAAAGCCAAAATTCAAGTTTGAAAGCGAATCATTCCATCAAATGTCGACAGATTCAACGCAGCCTCGCTGCGAGCCTCGTCTCCGAGGTCCGTCGGATCGTCTTCCTCCCAAGGACTATGTTCCAGGTGGAACGGAAGACGGGGTGCCTGCCCTCGGTCCAAACGAGGAGAATATATGGACATGAAGTGTCGTGGGATTAGAGTAAAAAGTAGAGTAAAAAGCCCTCACGGATGCTCCGTTGTTGAAGTATCGGTATTCAATGAGCGAGGTCCTTCTTGAGACTAACCACGAGTTTGAAGATGACGAAGACGCGCAGATTCTCGGTCACGAAGTTCGACATCGACTGGGATATCGAATTCGTGAAGTGGGGAGATCGCCGAGTCCACGCCTTGGAGCAGCTTGAGGATCTTGGGCCTCGAGAGCTCAAGAAATACGTCCCCGACCACTTGGACAATGTGATGAATCTCGACGTCGAAGAACTTACGGGTCAATTTGATCTCTGGAGAATAGCTTATCGCTCTGGCTTTGGCCAATGACTATTGGGTGGAGAAGAAAAGAGAGACGCAGGCGGCGATGTCTTTTTGTTCGTGTAAATATCGATACGCCTTTATGGAATAATGTATAGTAACATATAAATTGTCTTCGTGATTCACTTCAGGAGGATTACAGGAGGTTAGGTTCTCGAGTCTAGGGTCAGCCTTAAGGACCTGAGTCGCGCAAAGAAGTACAGGTCTTCGTTTCAATTTTCGATGGTATATATAAATAGCATTGGATATTTCCATACTTCAGATCATTATGCCTCGGATCTTTTCAACGTTGAGAGTTTGGACAAGGTTGTGATTGAGGTAGATTCCAAAGGGGTCGGCGACTTGGCAGCGTTTGGCAATGAATTTGGAAATAGTGTACGAATCGACAAAATAGCTCTCTCTCTCTCTCTCTCTTTTGGGGCTAATTGAGCCTGTAATCATATTCCCCTTTTGTTTTCAAAAAGTCTGAAGCCTGAAGTCTTCCACTAGTTCCTTCGGGTGAGGATACTTTACTAGGGGAGCCTCGTCAAGACCACCACCACCTCAAGTCATCAACTCGACGACCAAGGTATTCTTTGAAAACTGTTCTTTTGCAGACATTCTTCTTAATCTCTACGTGGCTCTTAAGTTTCCCTCTTCTTTGCAGCAACTTCGCGACCTCTTCGAGTCCGATATGTATACACACATGCGCCTTCTAGATTCAGACGCGCTTTCATTGTGCAAATCTTCTCCTGCCATCGTCGACCTAATAAGAAGCAAAGATTACAGTAGATGATAACTTTGAAGCTACGACAGCGTGCTTTAACGTAGCTCAATTGAATCAATCGATGCTACATTGTATCTCTGTATATTTGCAATATCCAACTTATATGCATATTGTCGACTTCCTGTGTAAATTCGATCACCTGGGGCCGGGAGTTTCGAACCATTTCGTGCTTCCTTCTTTTGCCTCGTCATATCTATCTTCATCAACCGATATCATGAAATCGAACGCCGTCACACTAGAGGACGAGTCCCACAGCCAAGCCGAGCGCACCTAATACCCCGCCAGCCTGGAGCACCACTGCAGCAGAATCTGTACTCGCAGCATCCACCAGCCCAGAAGCTCTGGTCACTGGAGCCGAGGCCACAGAGCCGGACGATGCGGCAGAACCTCTAGCTGGAATTGTTGTTGTACTAGCAGAAGAAGGTGTAAGCGAGGCAACATCTGTGCGGCGAGAAGACGATGCTACTGCTACACCTGTCGCCGTTCCTGCTGGAGTCCCGGTGCCGGTTTGGACCTGTCCACCAGCCGCAGTATACGTGCCATCAACAAGCGAGCCATTACCCTCAACATCGTCGTGGTACAGACCTGTTTCACAGACCTCAGTCAGCTTCGATCCCTTCTGCGTCCTCCTCAATGACCAAGACTAGATTAGAGCAAGCCACTGACCAGTATCCAGATCAACGCACAGCAGCGACTCATCCGTGTACTCGTAGCACGTCTCGCCACTCGCACAATCCAGCGTAGTCCTGCGAGCAGCACGCACCTTCGACCTCTTGATCAGGTCGTCGACGGGGTTGCTACTAGTGCCTCCCGTACCCGTACCGTCATCGAGACCGTCGTCGCATGCAGAGCCGCCGACTGCGTTACATTGACCCTGCAAGATGAGATCCAGGCAGCCCGTGACGCAAGCCTGGTTCTGCTGGCAGTAGCTCGCGCAGCCCGCGACGTCCTGCGCACCGCCGTAGGCACTGTTGCTGGCCGCGAAGGGAGCGTCAGAGAAGTCGTTGCCTGCGGGCCATGATTCTGCGCCCGAAGTCGTGCAGGTGAAGGCCCATACCGCGGGAAGCACAGCCAGAACAATGGCCGTCTTGTTGAAAGATGAGAACATCGCGACGGGAATATTTCTATACCAGATGGCCACGAGAAAGCGGGTTTGGTCTCCGGACGAGGATCGAGGAGGAGGCCTTGCAAGCTGGGGAAAGAAAGTTTTTTTGATATTTCATCACGTCAGAGAATATTTCTTCCACTTGCGCCGGTATGCTCTCGATTTATATTGTTTTTCCTGGTCCCAATAGACCCCAATTTCCCCTCTTTCCCGGTTCAGCCCCAGCTCGATCGGGCTGAAGGGGCGATCAAATCAATATTCGGTCTAACATCATGTAAGTAAGTACATACCATCTTTTCCCGATGCTTCTGTCTGTCTGTCTGGCAATAAGCCTAGAGACTCCCAACTCCAGATCAATCTTCCAATAATCCACTTTCCACAACAGCAAGTCCACTCCTCAACCCGGCTCTTTGGCATCCGAACCAACATTCAGACATCTCAGAACTAGCATATCCCGAAACAGGTATACAATACAATACAACGCGATACAACCTCAGCCTCGGTCTCAGCCCCCAGCCACAGACATGGGCATACATTTCAGCTAGACGGCTTTTCGTCTTCTTTCACCCCATCATTTCATTTCAGGCAGGCGGCTTTTCGATTTCGATTTTTCCCCCATCGCAGGCGCCTAACCTGGCCTGTATTATATTGTATTATACCATATCATACCACCACTATGACTTACAGTCGGGTGTCATGCTCGTTCGCTCGCTCGATCGGGGGCGATAAAAAAAATTAAGAAAAAAGAAAAGATTCCCTCTTGACCCGAGCCTCTTTCTTTTGAATATATATATGTGTGTCAATCGATCGGGACTTGAGTACTACTTCGAACAACAAACCCGAATGCAACAGGCAGCTAGCTAGCTCTCTCTACATGATAAAATTCCCAAACTCAAACCCCTTCCTTTCTCTCTCTCTCTCTCTCTCATCCTCTCTCTCTCTCTGGCTCTGTCTTTCCTGAGGTTGTTCGAGCTTAAAGTTCGAGACCGCTAAGCGAAGCTTGAATTAGCTTCCTGTTTAAATTATACCTTTTTCATTTTTCCTTTCTTCCTTTCCGAAACGAGACTCTCGGCTTGTACTACGTAAGTAATTACCCCGGCTTGACTTGCTTCTGCGGTATTAGTGCATGGGTAAGTGACGGGCCGGCTGGCAGCCGCTGGCCCGTCTTGAGCAGCCTCAACTGTATGTACTCAGTGATTGATGCAGTGCAAACGCCTCAGGTTGCAGTACTCAGCCTTGAGCAGCAGCCACCGCCACGGAGGCCCACCACGACGAGTATTGGAAAGAGATACGAACGGACGTACGAATCAGCATCAGCTCCGCGTGGCCATTTTCCCGAGCCGCGGGGGAAGGAGGAGGGGGAGAGGGAGACTTCCTCTCTCCCACCCTCATTCGATTTCGGAATATTGGAAAGCGGCGGATTCGATATTGCTGTTCATTCAGTCACAGTCGATCGTTAATCAAGATGATAATAATAGTAATGATTATAAAATATATGTATATTCTTTCCCCGGCTAAGAACATAAACGGTTTGCATTTCCCTAAATATATCCGGTGTGAAATTGCAAGACACCTTGAGAAAAACATAACCTTCTTCTGTATAAGAGCTCCAAAATCACCCCCCCACACACGGCCTCCCCACCCAAAAAAATTCGAAAATTCTATGGTACATGTGAAAATTAATACACACACGCAATACACACATACCCGCAGCAGCAGCAGCAGCAGCAGCAATCGAGAATTACAACTTCAAAATCTTGCTCTTGCCGCAGATGACCTTGGCCAGAGTCTCGATGGACCCGCTGGACAGCAGCTCCAGAACCTGCAGGTTCGCCTCGAACTCGCGGGTGATGAAGTTCCGCACTTCGATGGCGACGAGCGAGTCCAGCGCGTAGTTGGACAGGGGCCGCGTGACGTCCATGTCCTCAGCCTCGATCATCAGGACCGAGGGCAGCTTGTTCAGCAGGCCGCGGCACACGACGTCCTGCGCCTCCTCGAGCGTCTTGCTGGCCTTGAGCGCCGCGTGGAAGGAGATGACGGCGTCGGGGTTGGAAGAGCTGTCGTTGGACCTGGCCGCTTCCTCCGCCGCCGCGAGGCGCAGGTGCTTGAACTTGGCGTCGTTCGTCCAGAAGGGGGGGGTCGGGGTGATGCGCACGCCGGTGATCGTATGGTTGTTGCAGGCGGAGGCCAGGCGGCCGTTGATGGCGGCTTCGAGGAGGGCCAGCACCTCGGCTTCGCAGATCGTGTCGCTTCCCAGGTTCTTGGCCACCTCGGCTGCAGCGTCGGCGTTTTCGGCCAGGTACCCGGCGTCGGATACAGCGGTCAAGTCGATTGAGGAGGCCGGCAAGCCGAGACTGACGCGGTGCTGGACAAATGCGTTGAGGAACGTGTTGGCCGCGGAGTATGCGGCCTGGCCTCGGTTGCCCACGGCACCAGCGGCTGATGAAATGGCGACGAAGAAGTCCAGAGCTTGGTTCTGGAGCGCGTTGTGGAAATTCCAGGCGCCGCGAACCTTGCTCTCGATAACCGTTGAATACTCTTCGAAGGTCATCTTCTCGAACAATACATCCTAGCGCTCGTCAGTAAAATAGTCCAAATTTCGGTAGAAGCTCAACTTACACGAAGCACCATCGCGCCATGAACCACACCTCGAACGGGAGGCAGGCCAGCGAGCTCTTTCTCGATAAGATGATTGACCGAGCTAGTATTTGCGACATCACAAGGTCGCACAATCACATTGGCTCCGAGCACAGCAAGCTCGTCGATCAGCTCCTTGACTTTACCAGTTGCGGACCCGGTTCTTGAGACCAGAACGATGTTACGGGCACCTTTGCCGGCCATCCATCGAGCCATACTTCGACCGAGTCCTCCAGTGCCTCCAATTAGGACATAAGAGGCGTCTTCTTTGAGGAGCTTATTGTTCTTGCTTGAGATGGTCGCCTGAAATTCTCGTTAGCTTATGACCCGGGGACGGAAGGGGAAGGAACCAACCTTGACGGTATCATCGACTCTTGGTAAGACAACAAGCTTGCCACCCACGTTACCACTTTGCAAGACCTTAAACGCGGTCTCTACGTCCGAAATCGGGAAGGTGGTGATAGAATCAAGGGGTGCAATTTTTCCTGCGTCGAGAAGTCCAGAAACGTTGGACACCAGCCGCTCCACTATCTTTGGTCTTCGAGTAGCGATCGAGATCAGGTCAACCGACATGAAGCTGGTATTGTTGTCAATCCGGGTGGTGTCGAATTTCGAACTCTTGCCGATGGCTACAAAACGCCCAAAGCTGGAAAGCGTCTGCCATAATTCCCTAGACCTTTCGGCATCGGTAGCAGTGCAATTCAGCACCACATCGACGCCTTGATTCTGGGTCATGTGGCGGATTCCCTGACCAAACGATCCGTAGTGGTTGGAGAAGATGTGATCGCTTGCGACGTTGCAAGACTGCATGAGAATCTCTTTCTCTTCAGCAGTACCAACCGTGGCGAAGACCTCAGCACCAGACACCCGCGCCAATGCGACGGCAGCCTGGCCAACGGGGCTGGCACCGTCGTAAACCAGTACTATCTCCTCTTGCTGAAGTCGTGCGAGATCGATGAGACCGTAGTACGCAGTGCTGTGTGCAATCGGGATCGTTGCGGCAGCTTCGAAGGGCAATGCGTCTGCGATCTTGAGGGCAAACGCAGCTTTGGTGCGAGTGTAGCTCGAATAGGTACTATGAGACATCGAGATTGCGGCCACTTTGTCGCCGGGCGAGAAGTTGAGGACCGTGGCTCCGACCCTGGTAATAATGCCGCTGCATTCCATGCCAAAATCGTTGGTTTCCAGCTGGGCATGCGCGACGAGGAGATCCTGTGCGTTCATGCCAATAGCTTTGACCTCAATCTCGATCTCATCCTCGGCAAGCGATGCTTCAACAGACGCATCTTCGACGAAATGAAGGGTATCGAAAGAGCCAGGCTGCGAAATTTAGTTAGTTAGAGGTGTATTTCCGAACGGGTTGGGAGTCTGCTCGGATTTCACTTACAGTTCCAATTGTCATCTTCAACGCGCACCCATCTGCAGAGAACGGTGTTGGCTCAAGTACCGAAGCATTTATTTGCTTGTGCACGTACTCGTTCATCTCTTCATCATTGACGATCCGAGGAGTGAACAATGAGCCTTTCCTCTCCATGTATTCCAACTCGCCCTCCGAATCCGCTTTAGAGCCAAAAGTGGATGTGAAGATCTTCAAGATTGTCTGGACAGTGAGCTCCTCGGTCATTTCAGACTGCGGATCCAAATCAAGTGTTGCAAATTTGAGTAGAGTCTCAGACCGGATGCTTCGACTGAGCCCCGTGACCATGTTGGTATCGGGTTTCGCAGACTCCGCATATGCACCCCGTACAGTCCATAGTATACCTTGCACTGCTGTCAGCAGCTTCTGCAACTCTGTAAACTGTGTCGACGTGAGCGATGATAGCAAGGGTTCGCCGAGCTCTGAGATGAATATGCACAGTTTCTCGCTACCTTGCACTTTGCCGAGAGTGCCGATTTCTGGTCTCTGTCCGGCCGATCGCTCCAACGCATCAGCCAGAGCTGATGCAAGTTTGACCTGGGCCTCGGAGTCTCCGTGTACAATCACTACTTTGGCTTGTATAGTGTTCAAGTCGCCATTTTGCGAAGATTCTTTAAGCACCGTATCCGTTACGGTGCCATTGGCCTGGGGCGCGGCCGCTCCGTTCAAGAGGTGAGCGTTCTCCACGACAGGCTCCCAATCTAGCTTGAAGCAGAGCTCTCTGTGTGACCCTTCTTCTGCTGCCATCTCTCGTTCCAGAATCGGGGAAATGGTCAGGTTTTCGACCTTGATAATCAACTCAACAACACCAGCAGTCGCGAACATCGATACCTGCACCGGCTTAGGGTGCATTAAGGGCGCAACGCCTCGGCAGTATCCTCGAAGAGAGTTCCCAGGTTTACTCGTGAGCTCGGTAACGTTCCTAGATACTGTCATTTCTCCAATCGAGGAAGGGAGGTAGACCGTATCGAGGGGCTTGTGCCCAGCACCGAAAATTGGCCAGTACATCTCGATGAGCTGTTCCAGGAAAGCTGGATGGATAACATTACTGGACTGGAAGCCTTGCGGCATTTCTTGCGAGGTGTCCTCGGTCGTGATATTAGCAAGGGCGCAGGTGACGCCTGCCCTGCAATCATTCATTCCTTGGAAAGTAGGGCCGTAAGCAACTCCTAGCTCAGAGAGAGAATTGTACATCTTGTCCTTGTCTACTTGGATTGTGCTTTCGCTTTCGATTGCCGAGATACTGGCGCCCAACAGGTTCTTCGAACTCTCGGCGAGTTTGGCCCGATCAAAGTCATTCGTCTCGTGTTCTCGGACGCCAACAAATCCTTTGCAGTGCTCTGTCCACCCCTTTCCATCGACATATGAGTGAATCCTGAATTCATCCCATGTCTCCGAGGAAGCAGAGGGGCCATCATGGGCAGACCGAAGCTGGATAGTCGTCTCGATATCTTGGTCGGTGATCATAAGCGGAGCCGTGACATTAACATCGCGGAGGACAAATGTCTCAAAGTGAGATCCGCGTGTTGCTGCTCTCTGAGACGCAGCCTCGATGGCCATGGACAGGAAACCTGACATCGGGAATAGTGTGAGACCCTGGATTTTGTGATGTCGAAGCCAAGGAAGTTCGTCGATACGAAGAATATTCCTCCACGTTGGCTCCAAGTCGTTCGAGTAGTTCGCTACAGTCCCAATAATATCATTTCTCGGAGTTGCTCGGTTCCGATGCTTTTGGACCAGTCTTGATTCGTGCCAGTATTTCGTTTGATGATTCCAAGGATAACGAGGCAAATCTACTAGCAATGTAGGCACCTTCTTGAGGACTGGGAAGTTGACGGCAGCGAGGTCAATAGGCGCCCCCTTGAGGAACAGCATAGCTGCTAGGTCCATTCCTGACTCAACGGCGTCCTTTTTTCTTACCAGAGCTGAACAGTAAGGTATTGCCGCTGCATTTGGTCCACTTGCTTTCAAAATCTGCTTGATAGGGCCCGCGAGCGCAGCAGCAGGTCCAATCTCGATGAGCATGTCGACGCCAGTTTTGTAGCCATCGACGGGCTTGCACATGCTGGTGAGGGCTTCTGAGAATCGCACCGCGTTCGTGAGATTGTCAACCCAGTAGGATGGCTCAAGCTCTAAGCCCTCAACGAGATGACCATGTAGTGAAGAGTAAAACAACACATCTGTGTTCACTGGCTGATCAATGTATTCCAGGGGCTCAGCGTACTTATCGGCAACCAAGTTCATGTGGTGGGAGTGGTAGGCGACGTCAACTTGGAGCTTCCTGTTAAAAATTTGCTTCGCTTCGACCAGCGTCTGCAGCTCGTCCAGCGCTTCCACGTCGCCTGAGATAGTAAGACTCGATGGGCTGTTGTAGCAAGCAATTCTGACTTCTTTAGCTTTGAGTTGAGCGATGAGTGGCGCAATATCTTCTTCGCCGCCCCCGACGGCCATCATACCCCCCTTTGATTTGGGGAAATGTTTCTTCAAATTCACAATAGCCATTCCCCGATAGTACGAAATTGCCATGCAAGACGCCAGAGGTAAGATGCCAGCGGCGTAAGAGGCCGCAATCTCTCCACTGAAAAGGCGAATATCAGCTGCCGGCTATAGACCCAAAAAAAAGTTCAGCGGATTCAAACGGTCACTTACCTCGAGTGGCCTACAACGGCGGTGGGAGAAATTCCCCAAGACCGTATTAAATCTGTCAGGGCCAGTTGGATCGCTGTACACGCAGGCTGGCTGATATGGGCTTCGTTGATGGCCGATGTCTCAGCATCCTTACTTAGCTCATCTACAAGAATAGTCAGTAAACTAGAGGAGCAGTCTAACCTCCGTTGCGTCTCACCTAGAAGCGAGAAAGTCGCGTTAAGCGACACCAAGCATTTCTCACAGGCGTCCATCGTTTGTTTGAAGACAGGGTATTGCGCGTACAGTTCGCGACCCATTGCACTCCATTGAGCACCCTGGCCTGTAAAGACGAACCCAATTCTGGGTGAATCGGTTTGTCGAGTCGGAGTAATTTTTCCGCTGTTCAGAGTCTCAATCAGCTCAAACGAGGTCGGCGTTGAAATAGCGACTCTCCACTGCATAAATGACCGCCGTTGTCCAAGCGTATAAGAGACATTGGTCAACAATTCACTTTGGAAAATTTCGGGCCGTTGCTCGAGATAAATCCCGATGTTCTTCATCATGGCCTCCAGCGTGGTCTTGTCGTTGGCAGAAAAGACGAAAAGTTTTCTGGGCTGTACCGAACTGGGCTGCAATTCGGGAAAATCAAATTCATTCTTTTTTAAGAACGGTGCCCTTTCCAGGACTATGTGCGAGTTTGTGCCACCGAATCCGAATCCGTTAATGCTTGCGTACCGTTTTCCCCTTGGCCATGGGCATTGGACGACCGGAACCTAGGTCGTATTAGATACCGTGTTGCTACGTGTAATTGGGAGATGCAGGTGAAGTATATAAACTTGCCTTGAGATTCCACTGGGCAAGAGGGATTTTCTCGTTGGGTTTCTTGAAATCGTAATTCGGCAATATAAATCCCCGTTCAAGCATTAGTGCTGTCTTTATGACTGAAACGATACCCGCAGCTGCTTCAAGATGGCCAATGTTCGATTTCACAGATCCGACGAACAGAGGCGTCCTCGCAGTCCGGCCTTCGCTAAACACATTCCGAAGTGCAGCTGCTTCGATGGGATCTCCCACTTTTGTACCCGTACCACTATAGCACACATGGGAGTCAGCAAACGCCCACTCAAATAGATTCCGAGACAAGATAGAGTCGTGTTGCCGAGTTCAGAAGAAAAATCAGAGCTAAGGGGGTGTTGTTGGGCTTCCCAAATACATACTGAGCTTCAACGTAGCCAGTATCTTTGGGATTGAGGCCGGCGTCTTGGTAGACCGATCGAATGAGTGACTCTGTTATTCTTGTCAGTATAATTCGAGAAATGGGAACAGATTTATCAACCTTGCGCATCGCCGTTTGGCATAGTTATTCCAGGTGTTTTGCCATCTTGATTTATTCCACTTTTCAACGTCAGCCATCCTACAGTCCTAGGGGTTTCTCTCGGCCGGCACAAGTGACATACCTTCCTACGACCACAGCGCGAATGTTATCGTTGTCTGCTAGAGCTTGATCGAGGGGTTTCAAGACAAGCATTCCACATCCTTCCCCACGACCATACCCTGTACCACGGTCATCAAAGGAGAACGATCTCCCTTCGTCGGAGAATAATCTGAAGCTACAGTCAGTCTTTTAATCACAAAGGTAAATAAATGCGTTCTTACCGTGACATTGAGAACGATATCCAGAACTCCGGCAATGTGTTCAAATGGCATGCCCCAACGAGCGCCATCTTTGATTCCCCCGTTCGCAAACTCTGGCAGGCCTGGTGCAGCGCTACGAGACTCGACGAGCAGGCTGTGTCCATCGTGAAGCTGGGTCCGCGAAGATCGAAGAAGTGGGAAAGCCTATTTGATTGCATAGCAAAGGCGCAACCTTGAAATATTACTTAGAGAAGTCGCGTACTCGATGGACCCGTTTCTTACCTGTAGCTTGATACATTGGAATGGATTCTGTATCCGCAAAGAGCTGCGACTCGTATTCGGAAAATGACCCGCCTATGAAAACACCAACATTCTGTCCCACGATCGTGTGTTTGGGAATACCTGCACTCTCAAGTGCTTCGAACGTGCACTCGAGTAGGATACGCTGCTGAGGATCCATAGATGTCGCCTCTTGCGCGGTGAGACTGAAAAAAGGCGCATCGAACAGGCCGAGATCCTCTTTCAAGAAGTTTCCTCCGGTCGGATTGAAGCATCCGCGCTTTCCAGGGTTTGGATGGTGGAAGCTTGCGCTCTCGAAACGCTCCTTAGGAATTTCTGTCCATCCTGTCCTAGAGCGAGAACACAACTCCCACAACTGATCAGGCGTACTAACATCGCCAGGTAGACGACATGACATTCCAACAATTGCGATTGGTTTCTGGTTCGGTTTCTCAGGCTCTGGGTCACGGGTATAGCATCAGCAATCGAGTCGTTTTACGATACGCCAGGGAAAAGAGGGATCATGCTACTAAGGGCAACTGCAGGAAGGAGAATTTCAATACTAATGCATGCTCAAGGTATTACTTACGAGTTAAGCCGGTTATGAAGCCCTGTGTATAACCGTGAGTAAAGCCAGTTGTGTACATCGCAGAGGTATTCAGGTTGCCATTGTTCCCTCGGTTATTTCCATGGCTATTTCCATTGGTAGGCCCATTGGTAGGCCCATTGGTAGGCCCATTGGTATGTCCATTTGTAGGCCCTTGGCTAGCCCGATTCGAAGGAGCATTTGGGGGTTCTGGAGCTGCGTAAGGCCCGCTTGTGATTGCGGACATCGCAGCGTTTGCGAAGTTTCGAAGATGTTGGGTAGGAAAAATGCAGCATGTATTTATCTCCTGTACACATACAGAAGCTTACACACTCGTTCCCCTCCAGTCCCCGGCGAAGATCTTATATAAATGACTCCGTCGCGTAATTACAGCCGCTTGCCGCTTACCGCGAATAGTCGGAATCGCGAACTCCTATTTGCAATTATTTTCGGTGGAAGCGTAAAAATGATCTCAAAAATTAGACGCAGATGTTTGGCAAAAGCAACGAGAACAAGTGCAGACCGAGGCTATATACAATGACGATAAATTGAAGTGCACGGTCATGGTGGGCTAGGTACGCTTTTGGCGTGCACGACCAAAATAGTTGCCTGAAAGATGTCTTGATGAAACAGAAATAAATGCCTTGCTCACGATTCATCAGAGGATCAGCACAAGGTGTTCAAACACATGTATAATGACACGGCGGATCTGGGCATTCCAGTTGGGACGAGGAAGACATGCTGTTTCTCAGCTCCTGCTTCAAAAGTCCAGTTTGCAGAGAGCGTGCCTACGGACTTCAGCGGAGCCACTTGAGCACGAGAGCAAAACTCTATCCGTGCCACCATCACGGGAGATCTTGCCCCCGTATCAGGGAAGAGGGATAGCACGTCCGGATACTGTCCAGACAGACACTTTGAGCTATTTCCACGGCCAAGATGACGAATTCTAAGAAACAAAATGGGGTAGGAGGAAAAGGTCCATAGAGCCTCATACCTTGAACATTTCACACTCCGCTGTCACTTGTCAGCTGTTGCTGGAAGGGTAAAACATTTCAGCAGATGTTTGGCTTGAGGTCAAGAGTCGAGGATCGAGGGTCGATGAGGTCAAAGCCCAAGTTTGACTGGGGTGTCAGAGACTCAGACGAATCTCCATGAGTCCGAGATCCGCTTTGATTCTTGGTTTTCGATTGCGATCTGCTAAACCCAAGCGAAACAAGCGAGCCTCGCTTATCAGCTTCTCGATACAATACATTCGAGATCTCAGATGATGCATATTTCGAGTCGATCATCGAGATAATGCAGATTTAGGAGATTTCGAGGTCCGAAATAAAAAGGTATGTGCGCCGGGTCGGGACTTTGACTTAGCGCCTATGGATCCAAAGAAGTCGAATAAAATAGTTGTAAGGCATTCCATGCACAAAGGGATACGGCGGCGACGACGATAGTTATAGAGAGAGTATTTGACCGAAGACGATCCATGGCTATCATCTACAGCTGTTAAGCTTTACGTAGGAATGTACGAAGTACGAGCATATCTTTGAACAAAAAAGTGCAAAGGAAGCTCTACGTTTACAATTGATTGTATACTATCAAGTGAAGAGCCGGTGCACCTCAATTGCAATATAAGCCAAATATACAGTAATATCCGCAGGTCTAGATCACATCTCGTTGTATATAAGCAGATCGGCAGATCAGTGATCGGCCGGGAGATCAGCGGATGGATCTTGTTAAGTACGTAGTATTACTAGACTTGGCTGTGGGGATCACTTGAAATTTAGGATAGCTTTGTACAACTACTTTAGTAGTACTATCATCCTCCTTATATACTCCGTATACGGCAGGATCCCCAAGACTGCAAGGATGGACTTTTGCTCTGTTTGTTAAAGAAGCAAGTTCGTGAGGCTCAGCGGCATATCTGTACCCATGTCGAAGATCCACCAAGATATAAAGTCAAATTTATGCTTAGCCAATCATACAAATTGTAGCAGATTTAGTCCTTCGTTTGACAAGATCGACGCAGGGGGACCGATGTACCGGCCGCACGAGTAGGAACTCGGCTTCGAAACCCGTCCTACAAGGGTCCTTGTTTTAAAGATACTACTATGTTTAATATAAGATGATCTTGTTGGACCTCTTGGAAATGGTATTGGCGCCTCGTTTTTTTATTTCCAACCTGCAGTCTCTTTCTTCAGTCTCTCTCTCTCGTCACTCATCCGTTTTTCTCCCTCAAGTACCTGGTGTACTATCTAAAAAAACATCAACCTTAATCCGCAATAATGAGATTCCTATGCCTGTGTGGCGCTTATGGAAGCTCAGAGGTATGACCCCTCTATCATCCTCAATCTCATGTACACCTGCTAACAATCGCAAAAAGAAATTCAGAGTCCAACTAGGTACGAGTCATCGTGGTCACCCCGTACTCAGCCAGCTCACCCTAACATCCGAATAGCACCTTTAGTCAACGAGCTTGCTTCGGATAACACTGCAGAGCTTTTCTTCATCCATGGCCCTCTGCCTGCCTATCCTCCGCCTGGCTTCGAGGATTTTTTCGGACAGGGGCCACACTATCGCTTCATGGCGCCCAACAAAAACGACGGATCAGGGAGTGTAGATATCCTCGATCGGATTCGGGATTTCCCAGAAGGAAGGAGTGCCGAGGATCAGATGCGCAGGCTTATGAATCCCTCCTCGAGCTCTCATGACTCCACGTCACCCGAATCTTCCGACGACGGTAGTAACTTTGGCGATTACTCGTATGCGAACGCAAGTGCGAAGAGGGCGATAGAGTACCTGTATGAAGTAATGGAAAAGGAGGGTCCTTTCGATGGCATCATGGGATATTCAGAAGGTGCGACGGTCGCTTCCACACTCATACTTCATGAGCAACTGCGATTTGAGCTCGAGGGCAGAATACCCATGTTGCAGTGTGCCATATTCTTCGGGGGATGGCCACCCTTAACGCCTGAGTTCGATGGCATTGTTCTGGCAGATCAGACAGATCTCACCATAAACATACCAACTTGCCATATTAGTAAGTCTTGATCGATCCATGCTGGTGGACTGCGGCCCAGTTGCTAATGTGTATCATAGTTGGATCCTTGGATCCATACTTGGCCGGGTCCATTGCCCTCTACAACGTCTGCGATATGGACACCGCGAGACTTTTCGACCACGCAAAGGGTCATACTCTACCCCGACACAAGGATACCATAAAGGAGCTCAGCAATGTCATCAGAGAGATGATAGCTAACCTCTGACGGGATACCAGTATGTTCGCCTGGCATGGCATGATCTGATGGATCTGTTAATTCTTTTGTTGCATGCATTAGGGGATGATAATACGAAGATTTCTCTTCAATATATTCTACGATACATTCTACAATATACTACCCATTCATAATACGAAGATTTCTCTGCAATATATTCTACAATATATTCTTTAAAACAATACCTATACATAAGACGAAGATTTCTTTCTATTCATTATATTCAGCCGATACTACAGAAGCCGCTAGCGTTATGGTTCATTTTCTTCCGGGTCTAGCCTATTCATGTCGCACGCAATCATCTTCAATCAAGCTAATACTCCAGGGCAATATCGCACAATTGAAGATGTTTCTCTGCCCTCACAAGCTGGTCAGCCCTCTCATGCGGGCCTCTCGTTCTCCGTGCGTTGTTGAAGTCTGTAACAGAAATGCGGCAGGTGGAAGCTAAGGCTGTGCGGCGTGCCCGGTGATACCCGTCCGATCCTTGCGATGCTTGTTTCGTACTCCGCTACGGAGCGACGTCGATCACCTCTTGTTTCCTGTTACACCTGCAGCTCTTGGACCATGCGTTTCAGCTCGGTATTCGCGCCACTGCGGCCCACACCCGCATGTGCGCCGGTCTTTTTCTAATACGGGGAAACTGATTGCCTCGCTTCAAATATTGGCTGGGCGTAAGTAAATAGAACATCCTACGAAGTACTACCTCCCTTTTGATCTACTCTCAGGCGCTTTTTCTTCGGCGGGAGTGGTACGTGGGTATCTGGGATAATTTTTGACATGGGCCAGCCAGCCTGTCGGGACTCTGGACTCCGTACTAGGTACTAGGTACTTTGTGTTATGATGATCCGAGGATCGCTGCACCCCCCGTTCCCGCTTCACGGTTTGTTTATTCTTAGATATAAGCAAGGATCAGGACAAGCTTATCGAGGATCGCGAGCAGGAGGTCTTTCACTCCCTACTTGTCATTGCTAAAGGGATTTGAGAGTTGAGTTAACTCACTGAGCTCTCTCAATTCCGAGAATCAAAGATTATATCAAAATAGACTGTTTATATTGATCAGTACGCACCAAGATCTTTCGTAGGGTCAGCCGTAGACTACCCGTATATAATATACTGTATATGCAGGAAGACATGAAATGCATCCAAGAGCCGTATAAAAGAAGCTGTGATGCCATGGGATTAATAGACCGTAGACTATTTATTTAAAGAGCTTTGGTCCAATCACGTTCTTTGCTACTCATTCAAAAACACGGGGAATTTATAGATAGAACCTTTATTCAGCACATATTTGTATTTTATAAACAGACCTTACTCCATACTGTCCCTTCCTTTGAATAAATACTAGCGTCGCCACGGTGGCAAGAGCCCCAAAACATGGCCAAAATCTCTTCGTGCCACCTTGAGGATCTAGCCTTCACTTCAAGGAAGAGGACAACAGGGCGGTAAATTTGCGACCTACGTTCCGGCAGATGAAAAAAAAAACTCATCATCATTATCTTCTGCGAAATTTGATGCAGCCTACCAATTGTAAAGATTTAGGTCGTCGTTACGCAGGTTGGATTTATAAGTCCAAGCAGTCCAAGCTTGACTCGATCATAGTGCTTCATGACACAAAAGATGTTTGGCAAATGATCAGTCCAAACCCAAGATGAGGGTAACTCGGTCTCGCCCTCCTGGCTAAAACTTGACTTAAGCACGATCAAGATCTGCAATTTCATTATGCGCACGGTGGCGGAGCTCGATCCATGGATCTGGGATTCTCCGCCACTGAATGAGTACTCGAGATCTATATCTCCCTCTGCAGAGCATTTGACTGCATCTGTGAAATATACATGTTTGAAAAGAAAGAAACATAATGGGTAAAATAATGAGCGAATATGGCATCAAAAGCCAGTGGCTTACAACCCCGGGATCGCAAAGTCCAGCTTCAGGGTCGCAAAGTCCAGCTTCACCAAGGCCAGATCAGAGGCTGCTACCAGAGTCAGAGGCCAAAACTCCGATAACTCCCGGTAATGGTCCATCTCCATCTCACGATGAGGAGGCGAATTCTCAAGAGGGGGAAAAGAAAGCACCTCCCCCTCCGGTTCCGGGAACTGCGACTTTCACGAATTTTATCGCAAGTCACTCCTTTTGAACTCCGTGTTGGGATATCTTAGCTGACAGCACCCTAAGAGGATTTTCTCTTACTCAACACGCAATGATCGGATTATACTCGCCGTCGCGACCGCGGCTTCGATTGCCACTGGTGTGACACTTCCTCTCATGAATATTTGCTTTGGTACGTATAAGCGGTGGTTTGATTGGCGATGTGCTTCCAACTGACCGTGTACTAGCACGCCTTGTTGGGGCATTTGGTGGACTTCACAGGGAGATAAAAGAATCGCCAGAAAGGTTTACACATGAGATCAGTTATGTTGTGTAAGTGCATTCTTCTCTAGTACAAGGGGTAAAGGGGCTGATCTCGAGATACAGGATGGACTTAGTATACTTGTTTTTCGCTCGACTGGTGCTTAGCTACGTCGCGATGGTACGTTGAACCAAAATCTATATACTGTTTACATTGATATTGACAGAAAGGTAGTTCGGATTTCGTATAGTCAGTCTTCGAGTATCGGCTGCTATGCGCCTCGCGTATATCGAAGCACTTTTTGCACAGCCAATCTCGGTCTTAGATGTCCTGCCTTCTGGGCAAACCGCAGCCATCATCACCGTGACTGCAAATATTTTGCAAGTCGGCATCTCTGAAAAACTCTCGATGCTGATCCAAACTGTTTCTTTGATGCTCGCGGCTTTAGTTATAGCAGCTCGCTACAACTGGCTTCTAACATTGGTCACAAGTACAGGACTGATCTTCATCACTTTTGTTTACGGGTACACGATACCTCGGTACGTGAGAAACATTAAAGAAGTCGGGTCAGCGGATCGAGTATTGTCGAGGATAGCAAGCGAGACATTCGGGTCTATCAGAACGATTGCTGCGTACGGTGCCGAGGAACAGATGGCGACGAAATATGCTGAATGGGTTAACATATCCAATGCCAGAGGTCTTCGGATATCGCCGTTGATCGCTCTACAACAGGCCCCAAGTAAGTGAATTCTGTTTACGAAGAAATTCGCACTCGCTAAATTCATTGCTAGCTTTCTTTGCGATACAAGCGTACGTCTTCAAATCCCAAGAAAGATCTTGACACCCTGCTAAATCAAGATTAGAACCTGCGCACTCGCATTTTGGTATGCCGTCAAGCTCTATAGGGATTCGTATATAACAAGTGTGACCACCATCATCGTGTAAGTGCGAAAAGAAATTTACTCGTGGAGAGGTATCTCACTGACATTATTATACGTAGTGTACTGATGTCTGTTATGCTGATCATGACTACCTTGGGAAGCACCGCTGCCCCTGCATCAGCTGCTATGCATGCTGCGAGCGCTGCTAGTATCCTCTTCACTATCATAGATGCTCCGCAACCAAAAACATCTGGCAGCCGAGAGCCTGAGGTATCATCACAGGACATTGTATTTGAAAATGTCAACTTCACATATCCAATGAGGGCCGATGTCAAAATCCTCGACAATCTCAGCGTCCGATTCCCAGCTGGGAAAACGACTGCCATTGTCGGAGCATCGGGGTCAGGCAAAAGTACAATCATAGGGTTGGTCGAGAGATGGTATGAACTTGACGGAAACATGACTGATAATATCATGGTGAGTTTGCTTTGAAATCCCGAATTTGTCAAAAGCTAGTAGATCGCTGACACTGCAAGACCATGTACTTTCGGAATGGTACTATCAAAACGGGCGGCCGACATTTGCACGAGATTGATCTCAAATGGTGGAGATCTCAGATCGGGCTGGTGCAACAAGAGCCCTTCCTATTCAACGACACGATATACAAAAACGTGGAATACGGATTAGTTGGGTCCATGTGGGAGTATGATTCTCATCAGAAGAAGATGGAATTGGTGAAGCAGGCGTGCGAAGAAGCTTTTGCAGACGAATTCATCACCCGTCTTCCACAGGTACGTAGGGGTGCTTGGACCCGCGTTGTACTTCCACGCCTTTATTACAAGACTGATAACAGCAGGGCTACAATACCCCAGTGGGAGATGCTGGGATCAAACTGAGTGGAGGACAGCGCCAAAGAATCGCCATCGCCCGCAGCATCGTCAAGCAACCCAAGATCCTGATCTTCGACGAGGCAACCAGTGCCATCGACGTCAAGGGAGAGAAGATTGTCCAAGCAGCCCTGGATAAGGTCTCGAGGAACCGGACCACGATTACTATTGCTCATCGCCTATCAACCATTATGAGAGCGGACAACATCGTGGTTCTTAAGAAGGGCCAGGTTGTGCAGCAAGGCACGCATGATGAGCTTTTAGAGGACACTACAGGCCCTTACTGGCATCTTGCGAACGCACAGAAGTTGTCCCTAGGTAACGAGCAGGTTACGCTGGAAGAAGAAGTGGGAGATGCAGCTAAGACTACGGATGCAGCTATGTTCCATATGGTGAGTCTCGATAACGACAACCGGTTTGTCACCGTAGACAAGGCATACGTACCGAGAGGCTTTTTCGGGAGCTTTGTGGGTCTTCTTTGGGAGCAAAAGAAACATCTGAAGTTGTACGTTGCAATACTGTTGGGTGCTTTGGGAGCTGGAGGTAGGTCATCCCACGAAAGTGATTTCAAGAACCTCAAGACCCTGACTTTACTCTAGCCGCATTACCTATACAGTCATACCTGTTTGCGCATCTGCTCTCAATTTTCAATCTCACGGGTGAAAGGTTGAGCGAAGAGACGAGGTGGTGGTGTCTCATGCTCACCGCACTAGCGGTATTCGCCGGCCTGAGTTTCTTCATTCTCGGCTGGTCAGCCAACACCGTCTCATTCGTGAGTTTACATCCCCTTATCCCCCCCCCCCCTTCGATTCACAATGATTCTAATTTCAGCCAGCACATCACCTCCGCTTACCGCAAAGAGTACTTCGGGAACGTACTCCAGAAGCCCATCTCCTTCTACGACCAAGAGGAAAACTCCATCGGCTCCCTCACTTCACGCATGGCCAGCGACCCTACGCAGCTCCAACAGCTGCTCGGCATCAACATGGCATTCGTCTACGTCTCGATGTTCAACCTCGTCGGCTGCCTCGGGCTGTCTTTCTATTTCGGGATCGAGCTGGCGGGGCTCGCTGTCGCTTCCAGCATGCCAATCATCCTCGCGGCCGGATACTTCCGCTTCCGCTACGAGATTCAATTCGAGGAGATGAACTACAGTGTCTTTGCCGAAAGCTCGAAATTCGCGACGGAGTCGATCGGAGCCTTCCGCACGGTCAGCTCGCTTACCCTCGAAGACGAGATCTCGGGGAGGTATAAGAATCTGCTGCAGACCCATATCCGGAAGGCGCTCCGCAAAGCGGCTCCTTCCAGTTTCGTGTTTGCCTTGTGTGAAAGTGTGCCTCTTCTCTGCATGGCTTTTGTGCTCTGGTGAGTGAGGTTCTAACGGATGAGCGTGCAAAGACGCCAAGCTGATGCGTTTTCAGGTACGGTGGGAAACTTCTGGCGAAATTCGAATACGAACCTTTCAACTACCGTATGTACAACACAGTGCCAATGTTCTGGCTGTTACTGACGTTATCATTCAGTGGTTATATATCTCGCAATTGTCCAAGGGAGCATAAGTGCAGGGCAATTCCTCAGTTTCGGACCAAGCAAGCTAACCCATCCTTCACCGTCGCTGATCTCTACTAACATGTAACCCAGACATTGCCCAAGCTTCAGCGGCAGCGAACCGAATCTGCGGAATGAGACCCGGAATGATTTTTAAGCCTAAAGGCAAAACGCTTGAGTTTGCAATAAGATCGGAAAAGGACGGCGCAAGTGAGGTCCGAGGGGTGAAGCTTGAATTGCGCGACGTTTGGTTCCGCTACCCAACTCGCGATGTTCCCGTACTGCAAGGTCTGGACATGACCGTGAGTAAAAAGAAGTCCAAACGTTACTAGAGCTGCACGGACAGGACACTGAATCTCGCACAGATTGAAGCCGGTCAATTCGCCGCGATCGTTGGCCCCTCAGGTACGAAATTAAGCGAGCTCCTCTTCAGGGGGGCGTAATTTCAGAAGTTCGAGTTTCGCTAAACAAAAGTAAACAGGGTCCGGAAAGACAAGTATCATCTCCTTGCTTGAAAGGTAAGCCCCTCCATTCAACATCTTCTATATATATATACACATACGTATATATATATATATTTATAATTAGAATGCGCGTAGAAAGATCTGACTAACGGGATTTCAGGTTTTACGAGCCCGACCGCGGCTCGATCCTCCTCCGCAACACGGACATCACCAAGCTCTCCCTCTCCTCCTACCGCGCGGCCTTCTCGCTCGTCGCCCAAGAAGCCTCCCTCTTCTCGGGCAGCATCCGGTCCAACGTCCTCCTGGGCGTCGATCCCCAGCGCACCCCGGACGAGGCGCTCCACCGCGCCTGCCAGCAGGCCGACATCCACGACTTCATCACGTCGCTGCCGGACGGCTACGCGACGGAGGTCGGGACGCGCGGCATCGCGCTCTCGGGCGGGCAGAAGCAGCGACTCGCCATCGCGCGCGCTCTCATCCGCGACCCGCGCGTGCTGCTCCTGGACGAGGCCACGAGCAACCTCGACTCCGTGACGGAGCGCGAGGTGCAGGGCGTGCTGGAGCGCACGGGCCGCGGGCGGACGATGGTCGTGGTGGCGCACCGGCTGGCCACGGTGCAGAATGCCGATGTCATCTTTGTCGTGGAGGGCGGGAAGGTCGTGGAGAAGGGGAATCATGCCCAGCTGTTGAAGCGGAGAGGAGTTTACTGGCAGATGGTAAGTCCCTCCCCCGCCCCCCCCTCCTCTCTCTCTCTTCCCTGGTGCGAGACGAGACCGTGAGGAGTTGTGCTGATGGATGGTTGTGGTGCATTAGTGCCAATCGCAAGCGCTTGAAGGGTAACTAACCCAACTGGTCTATGAAATACAATTTTCATGGTGGTGGTGCATATAGGCGCTTGATCATTACGGGGTAAACTGGTCTGTGATATAATACTTATGGTAACGCACATAGGGGCGCACGGGCCTTGGTATGTAAATTGGGTCTTCAACATATGTACACATTCGGAGTAGATGAGACTCGATTCTTCTATTCATGTCAGTAAACGTATCATAAATAAGATTTTCCTATCTCACTCCTTCTCATACGCAAAGAAAAAAAGTAGAATGAATGAACACCATCATCATTATCGTCCTCGTTTTTTCCTATCTACCTACCTACTACCAGCCCTGCTTGCTTGCTTGCTTGCTTGCTTGCTAGTGTCACTCACGGCTGAGCTTCTAATGCATAGAAAGCCAGGGTTCTAGCTCTGATCGGGATAAAGTCTGTCGAGAATGACTTCTAGCACACTTCTAGCACACCTCAGGAGTCAGTACTAGTAACATAACATATAAAAAGTGGGATCGATCATACCTGACAATAGCCGTCACGTTGAATGGATGGATGTGAGGCCAAATAAGGCAAAGTGGTCTTCTTCTTCCCTACATAAGTCTACGGAGAGGGGGAGTAAGCGAATGCAGTCTTTTATCTATGAAGCTGACTGCACGACTTATACCGGTGGGCGATCTTCCAGAGCTATAAGTAAGTAGATAGGTAGATGTATAGGTGCTGGACTCACCCCTCGTGGAAAGAGTATATATATATATATATATTCCTTGGCCTCCGCGCTGTAGCTCATCAATTGTTCACTAGAGCTCATCCATAGTTCGCGTAGATCTATCTCCTCCTTTGATAAGAACACCCCCCTATGTTTACTACAAGCACACAAATTACTATCTTTTCATACTACGTATATCAGTCGTATTATTAATTTAATTATTACTTGAACAGATTCTTCGGAATAGATTAATAGTTGCAATAATTGAATATGCATTGCGTATGGGGCTGTCGGTATTGATAAAAGGTTAAAGTTTAGATTTGAAAAATTTACGCGAACTATGGATGAGCTCTAGTGTACAATGGATGAGGTTGCTCCTTGTACTGTACTGAGGGGTCCTGTCGAATCAGTGCGGAACGGTACACGTTTGTATCACGATTGAGGAAACCCAAAGTAAACATGTAAAAGTCATATTATCGTGAAGAGAGAAGCGAACTATTACGGTTGCTCAAGAGGCCGACACCAAAACTTTGCAAGGTTTTCCCCTCATCGCCGACTACACGGCCGATCCACCTGCTCCTTTCCATCCCCCTCCGCTTAAGACTAAGATCAGTCTGATAACAAATATTCAAGAAAGAACTCCCTCGCAATGCATCTCCAGCACATTGACTTAACTCTACTCCATTCCATTTCATTCATGACTCGTAAACCGCCCGTAAAAAAACCCACACTCAAAAGACAATAGATCCCGAACTCTGCACGTAATCCGTGCTTGTCTCCTTGCCCACCGTGACGGTCACGTTGAAGCCCGTCAACGCTGGGCTGCTGCTGACGCCGTACAAGCTCATGACGGCGGCGGTGAGCGTCTTCTGGCCGTAGATGGTGTCGGAGTCAATGGAGACCGTGAAGTTGAGCGGCTCCAGGATGTTCGATTTGCCGGGCCCGATGTAGACACTGCCGATGGTGGTGCCGAGCGCGCCCTGGTAGCCCGGGGCGGGGGAGAGGCCGAAGGCCGCCGACACGTCGTAGACGGTTTGGATGTAGTTCTCGGTCAGGAGTTGGACGACGAAGGGGGTGCCGGGGGCGATGACGGCCGGGGCGGCGACGCCGGCGATGCGGGCGTTGGCGGGGACGAGGAAGGTGAGGGCGGTGAGGGCGGAGGAGATGGTGGCAGTGGAAAAACGCATTTTGAGGGTTGGTGAGGTAAAGTGGTGGTTTGGTTTGTTTTGTTTGGAGAGCAGAAGGAGGTAGGATAGATCGTTGGTTTTGGGTGTTGGTGTTGAAGAGAGGTTGAAGGCTTCTGTAGATGCTGATTGCGATTGATGCAGATGATGAGGAATCGATGAGCCGGATACACACATGTATATATACCTTTTTCTCTGTCTCTCACGCTCTCTCTCTCTCTCTCATCGCCCCCTTCCCCCCCGACCCCTCCCCTATTACAGTTTTGTCACCACCTCAACCTCGAGAGCTTCTCAACACGAGGTTGGCGATCCACAACTCCACCGTCACCGTGCCAGTGATGTCAAGATCATCCATCACCGTCTTGGCAATGCCGAAGAAATACGTGTGTCGATCTTCCCCTTGGACCTACAGGAGTCAGCCGTCCAATAACTACAGTAACAGTCCATATCCCGCCCCCAGCCCAGCCCAGCCCAGCCCAGCCCACATCCACATCCACAACCAACCTTATCCACCTCGCCTAAGTACAGGGAAGTGCTACCTACGTAACGAAGTTAAACGATCAACAAACAACAAACGATAAAACAACAAACAATGCGGAAAACAATAAACAACAGTCTTCTCGTCGATTTTCATCTCGTCTCAGCGAACCCGTGCTTTACCATGTGATGTCATGATCGAAGGGCTAGCCTCGGGATGGAGATCTGCAGATACAAGCTAGATCCAATCGCTACTAGAATACAGTACTGTACGAGTAAGTAGAACGGAGTCGCGTATGTATCAAAGAATAGAAAATACCAATACTACTATTACTATTACTATTAATAGCAATAGTACTAGTACTAGTACTATTACTACTACTATTACTATTACTATTATTATTACTATTACTACCATTACTAATACCTCTTCCAAAAGTAAAGGCGAAAGTGAAATTTTGCAAAGGCTTTCTCCTTCAACCCCCCAACCCCCATGAAGACGGAGTACATGTGCAGGTCCAGTTTACTACGTAGCTCTATAAATCATAGAGCGGTTGGTTTCTGAATGGCTCAAAGCGCTGTCAACTTTATTGCACAGACTAAATACAAGCTTTAAATAAATTACTTTTGAAGGCTGAATCCTTAAGAATGTTTATTGGTTTAAGTTCTGATAGGCGCCATTGCAAAATTATACTTGGCACCTGTATTCGAGGGGGAGGAACTATACCAACCAGGGCTTTAAGCAATAAACTTACTCCGTATAGGTATACTATAGGAGTAAAAAACCCAGTTTTGAAAAGACTCTTTTTTTTTTCTTCTTAAACTTCGGAGCCATTCAGCAATTACCGCTCTACATACGTAGTACGTAGTAAGTACTATACCTAGTTGTAGTACGATTTACGAGGCTCAACTGGTCTGCATTTATTTATTTGATTTTTGGATTTCCCGTGCCGGAACGAACGGGAACC